TTTAATAGTGTTTCATGTTTTCCACCTACAATATTAATTTAATAATTTCATTTGCACAAAAAATTATTTGATTATTTGATATTTTATAAAATATTATTTAGAATTTTTAATTTAATAATAATATATATCGTAACGTAAAAAATAAATCATTAGACGCCTATAATTACTAAATTAAAATCTTAAAACTCACAAAACAATATATTTCACTTACCCCGATTCTAACTCGCTATTCCATAAATAATCACAAATTGCAGCTTCGATGTCATCAATTCCGCTTGGAATATCCGCTTTTTCAACCTACAATTTTGCATACAAATTTTTGTCACAACAACATAATAAAAATCAAATTAAGTATTCTTTTATTAAACTTACCTTCTGCTTCTTCTTCTGGGGTGCAGGACATTCCGAATCCAAAACTGCTGCTATAACACTCTCCGGTGTATAAATGACATCGACTTCCTTCCTCCTCATTTCTTCCATCTCTTCTTCTTCCTCCTCCCTCTTTTCTTCTTCATATTTTTTCAGTTCATCGTACTTTTTTTCTACATAGCTCTTCATCTCTTTTATTTCACCCTTCAATTGAGCTCCTTCATCCGAGTATTTATCAACCACCCCCTTCACCCCGTAAGTTCACTCCTCAAATCCACAACCTCCTTCACCACTCCCTCAAATTTTTCTCCCGTCACCATCTTAATATCACCCCTTAACACCCCAACTTCTTTCACCACTTCACCCCTCAACACCTCTACTTCTTTCACCACTCCATCTATTTTTCCTTCCACTACCCCCTTATGCCTCTCGAGTGTATCTTCGACTCTCTCGAGTTTCTCTACGACTCGATCAAGTTTCTCTTCGACTCTTGATTGTCTTTGCATGATTTCAAATTGGATTTTTTTGATATCAGCCAATTCAGACATCAAAATGTCGAAGTTACTCTGTTTTCCCTCACTGTCATCCCACTCACCGTCATCCCCCAATACAACCATCCCTCCTTTCTTCTCCTCTGCCTCCACTGCCTCCTCTACATCCTTGCCAATAACCTTCAAAATTAAATTACAATATTAAGACATTGATTATATTCTTAATATTATTTAATTACATTTATTACCATTTCTTGCTTCTTCCCTCTATCTAGCTTCAACTTCACCATCACTCTAACCACCTCTTCCTTCCCCCATGCACGGATGCGTGCCACTCCGGTTCTTTCATAAGCCGGCACTGCCTCACAGCCCGACCAAAAATCGAACAGTGCAACCTGCATTTATAATAAAATTTATATTTTTATATAAAACACAAAAAAAGTGATTCAACTCATTTACCTCTAAGATTGCTATGCACCCTTTGAGGTATCTCTGGCTGCCCTTTTTAAAGGTGATTATTGATTCAATCAATCTCGAATGGATATATTCAGCCCAATTGAATTCACCCTTCAAGCCTTCATCGCAAATGAGCTTCATATATTCCTTGTTCGTTGACGTATCACGCGTTGGACAAAGAAATATCCCGACAAGGTACAATAGAACTCGGGCCTTCAGCTCATCCCCCCAGTAAGATCCACTTTTGATATCCTCTTCAACTTCAGCATATGTCACCTTATGATTCAAACCATATTTGGAGGCAAGTGCTTTCCAGTTCTTACTCCTACAGACTTCTATAACACTTTTGCCTTTGTTTTGTACCCCCAATACGGCTGCAGCAGTCGATACCCCTAGAGGGAATGAATAATCACCATACTTAGCCATACATTGACTGACGTCAAATTGTGCCATCAAGGATCGACACAATTCCCTCCGAATAGGTCGATCCCTTACTCCGATCAACGATCCAAAACCTATTTCTCCCAGCACATTCAACTGACCCTTCTCCTTAAGGTGTTTAATTAATAAATTCACCCTTTTAATGATGCATCTTGTCGACACTTCCTACATTTTTTAACAATATATATGTATAGTTCTTATATTTTGTATCAACGTATTTACAAGTTTAAGGAATACCTTATTTTCATGTGCTTTCCTCCGTTCTTTGTATTCTTTACTATCATTCCTTGACTGTGTGATGTAAGGTTCCTTTTCAGCATCACTCATTGAATTCCATTTGGACCTCACATCTTTTTTCACCTAATATTAAACATAAACGTTTCTTAATCAATACATTAACACTAAATACTAATACTACTCAATGTCAATTTCATTTTACATACCGAACCGCTCTGTGTGCCATCTCCCTTCATCCTTTTGCATTCGGCCATACTGTTAACATTTAAAATTTGTAATCAATTTAAAGTTTATCGATACTTTAATCCAATTACCATTTCAACAATAATAACAAAAAGACATTGATACTTACTAGAAGTACATATATCCACCCTTTGGTTGCTTTCGAGTCTAGGCCTCAATTTCAAAGTCATCTGCTCCACCAACAATTTTCCAACCCATTGACTCCATTTTTCCTTCATATCAGTTTACGCAAATCAAATTATTTGTTACATACACTTTATTCAATATACAAATATAGATAACTACTCTTGTGGTAAAACGGTTTTCTTCAAAAGAATTTGAATGGCCACACCAAAATGTGTCGGCACATTTATACAACCTATAATATCATTTTCTACCTATAATATTTAATAAAAGTATCGACATTTATATTTTCCTTGAATATCTATTTCTACCTGCAATCGGTCCAAATGCTTCCTTACTCCAAAACCCCAAACAACACATAAAAAACCCTATCGCGATTACTGTAATAATAAAAAATTAGGGTTTCGACAACATACTTTTCGATTCGACTGCAGCAACAAACAAACAAACTTCGCTTTAGAAACGCCTTCTGAAATGCAACAACAATTACTCTTTGATTTCAAAAACTCGTCCGTTCTATCTTTTTTCAGAGGATATTTAGCTATGGCCTTTATATTTTCATCGGATATGTTATTTATATTTAATCGATACAAATACAAAAGTGTCGATACTTTTATGTCAGGTGTCGATACTTTCGAAAGGATAATTACCTATTTCTTTGAAAGTGTCGATAATTTATTACACGTACTTACGAAAGTATCGACACTTTCAATATATCCGGTATCATTTTACCGGTTTTATCATTTTGATACCGGTTTTATCATATTTTTACCTGTTATATCGTTGTGGATCGATATATTTTTTTAAAGTATCGACACATTATAGGCGCTATAACTGCTTCTCTTTTAAATTCACAAAGTGTCGATCCTTATATAAAGTATCGACACTTTTAAATTTACCGGTTTTATCATTTTGTTACCGGTTTTATCATATTTTTACCTGGTATATCGTTTTGGATCGATACATTTTTTAAAAGTATCCGGTAATGCTGTATATTAACCGTATATTAACCCGCCTTTCCTGAGACATTCCCATCAGATACGTGTATGTTTTCAACACTCAAACCCGAGAATCCTAGATGCTAAGGCCCAAAGAGTAAGCCCTTAAAACATACGAAACACAATATATCTATCTAGAGATGGCAACGGGTTCGACTTACCCAACACGAGAAATATATATACTTCAACTAAACTTAACCAGAGAATCATACAACGTCCACCCGGCTCGATCTGATCCAATCCGAATTTTTTGTATATGACCCAATTCGACATAAATATTTAAAATTATTTTTATTTAGTAAAACTAAGAACCTAATTAAAAAACTATAAAGAAAAAGGTATTATAATAATTATCCATGTATTTATAAAATAAATTACCCCGAGTCTGGTCAGGTCAGAAATTTTTCACTCCAAATACGAACTCGATCCGACCTCACCCTTTATAAAATCTGACTCGACTCGATCTTACTCTTTATAAAATTTGACCCGTACCTTTAGAGTTTATTTTTTTTAAAAATTTGACCCTCTCAGGTCAAGTTGGAATCAATGGATTTCGAGTTAAATTGATACCCCTATCTCTAACATAAAAACTTAAACAAGTAACTTAAAGGAACATGATTTCAATCATTCAAAGTAACCACATGTCTGTTATTCCAACCTGACAATGCTATTCTGATAAAGCTTGATTAGAACGGATTATCTGATGAAGATCAGTGTCCATCAGCTCATATGCAATATAAACATCGTTAAAACTTTCTCTTTGGGGTGGTGGAATTATATCCTTGATTGCCACTACCTGCATGAAAATTGCAGATCAAACTAGCTCGCAGCAATAAGCAAAATGATAGCGTTCTTCCTAGACTTCTCATGTATGTTGCTGGGATTCTTATATTTTAAGCACTGTTTGACATATATTCGAACACGAGGAAGACGATATGACGAGCACCTAAATACATGAAAAAACTTGAAAGAACTTGCATTTGTCCCGGCTGAGCTGCCTCCGTTTAGCTGGCCCTTCGCCTTCCAATCTTTGGTGAGATTTTGAAATAAAATTTATTAGCTCAATCTTATGTTCTCAGCAGATGAATAGGAAAACTATTATTATCATATATTGGTTTTTTTCATAGCAAGAAATAATACTATTTTTAGAGAATTAAATTCAAACAAAATTATGATATTGTTTCACTAATTAAATCCTTGAGATTAAGATCGATTAAGATTATAGATTTAAAATGATAACGAGACTGCAATACAATCTCAAAGCTACCGATTAACGGTAGATCTAATAAGATAAGACACTAAGTCATCCCTTAGATAAAGGTCATAAATTTGATGAATAAAAAAACGAAATTAAAAGAATCAATTTTATAATAGACCTTTACAAAATATGATCTGAACTAGTCAATAAATCAAATATCAATGTTGCTGCAAAAAAAAATTACAAAACCAAAACTATTAAATCGAAATTTCAATTGAATTCAAATATAATGAATTCAGCTCCAATCTACACAAATAATGATAAAAAGAAGAAAAATCCTTTACTGCCTTTGGATTGGAATCAGTATTCGACCCTCATCTTCCTTAGAATCAGTAGCAGCTGCAGCATTATAGATGTTGAATCATTCAGCCAACTTAGCCTTCTCTCATTTATCAGATTCTTCAAGTTGAATCAGCAATAAGAAACATGAACATGGTAAAGACATACATATATAAAACTTTACAAATGCAAGTTCTTTCACCATCCAATCAAATAATTGGTTGCGTTACTCGAGTATAAACACAAATATCCGATAAGGGCTTGGTATGTCTCGTATTAAAATATGTTATGAACATAGATATTGAGAACAGATATTCTTCAAACAAGGTAAAGAGTTCTGGGTAACATAGGTTGCAAACCTCTTATGCTGCTCAGGAGGCTCCATTTCGGACTTGTTCGAGATCGGGCCCGCACTTATAGCAGCATGGACTTTCTTGTACAAAGACTTGATTTTATCAGTCTCAAGTCCTCTCTTGACATACACACTAAAGAAGGCTAAGGTCTATTTTCTCAACAAATTAAAACTCTCAAGGCTCATATTTTTCGTTACACAGATAGATAGTAAATTGTTAATTTCTATACTAATATACAACATATATGTGTGTGTGTGTGTGTATATATATATGGAAACAAACACATCCAAAGCAAAAACCAATCTTCGAACCCAATTTTTCACCTGGGTTAGAGTAATGTCAAACTGCAGAAAGGCTAGCCCACTTGCCAAGATCATAAGGATCAGCATAGTAATACAACTTGATTCTGTTTGACAGAGACAAGCCTGCAGCAACTACAGGAGCTCTTAAACTAGCATCATCCTGCTCGGGCAGCTTGTCCGTGAATGCTGCAACATCTCCCAGAAGTTTGAAAGAGATTCTTCGAGTTTGAAACTGTCTAGGGAAATCAAAGTACATAGCTGTTCCTGGTTTGGCCTCTGGCAACCTGTATTCCGCAATAGTCACCATGTTGGATCCTATTCCTTCCTGTAATATTATTCTAGTAAGTTTCCCAGGATAAAAAACCTAATACTGAACCACACAGAGCCATAATTGTAAAAATTAGCCAAAACTGCTGAACGGATATGAAACAAAAATTAGATGGAGACTGGGTTCTTGGTACCACAGTAAATGATAAATCAATACGAGCAAGAGTATGTAAGAGAAACAAGACTCGTTAACTTGTGAGCGGTGATCATCATTAGTCAGCATGAGAACGATTTTTCTACTTTACTAATACCGCAGCCACTGTTGCTAACCAAGTATAATAAAGTATTTGACTTGTAATTTGAATTAGAAAAGAATAGAGGCTAAAATGTAGTATTAGCAGTCTAGAACTTATAGAAAATATTATAAATCAATAGAATCAGACACCAAAGGAACATTTCCAGTGTCCCATTTCACTAATGTGTGCATTCCTCTAGAAAAGGAAAGAGAATAAAAGCTAAAGGAGGTCTCAAACAAGTCTCTCATCAAGGTGATAAAAGGGGAAGAGCAAACAAAATTATGCTTATCTGTCCTTTATCTCTTCAAAATCTGATATTAGAGTTCATTACTAATTTCATGATGCTGTTGCCTTATTGTATTTCTACCACCATAATTATCCTGGTTAAAATTAACAAGCAGTACCATAAAAGCAGGTCTAACAGATACCTGGAGTGCAGAAACTTGAATATACAGAACAGCTGGAGAGATATATCTATCTTCTAAAAACATGTCTGATGTATCCCAGATATCTGCACCTGAAGATGGTGAGTGGGTAATAAGAGGTTTTATTGCATGGAAAGCATCCAGTCGGAATCCAGCAAGCAACGGGGAAGATGGAGGCAGATATTGCTCTAAGATCAGATCATAGTCCATTAGCCTCTCCGCCTCAATTGGAACCTGAAAGTGAATCAGGATTTACCGAGACAATAAACACACATAATGAACATGGAGTAAAATGCGGGAACAACACATAAACAGCGGACTGAAACATAACCATTACCTTGAATCTATTTAATTGTGGAGCTCTGTCCAGCCAGTTTCTCTGGCTAGAGCTTTCCGGCGATGTAAGCTCCATCTCTTTTTTCACAGGGCATCCAGCTATCAGTATTCGTTTGGCATGAAGGCATGGATTGTTTTTATTTGCTCCTCCAAAAGAGGAGCGTCGAGTTTCTTGAGCAAAGGGATTTTCGTTTTCGTCCAGAGACAATAAACTGAAGTCTTTACCAAAATCTACAGAGCTTGAACCAGGCCGCTGAAGGCACAGTGTTATCCAAACAATGCGACACCGAACAGGATTCTTGAAAGTAAATCTAATGTGACAGGGCAACTTATCTTCTCTGGTTGACTTTTCAGGTCCATAAAGTTCTGGTGTTGAGGATATCAGGGATTGGACATCCCATTTCCCAACACAGGACCTTTCTTCCCTGTCTATTTTATTGCTTACCCAGATTTGCACCTGAGTAATAACAGGAGAAACTGTTAAAAAGATTCTTAACCTTGAGAAAACTTTTAAAAAAAGGCTGCCTTTTATTGAAGAAATAAATCTGAAATAAAATTGCCAGACAAGAGGAAAAGAAACTTAAGACCCATGACACATGGAGCAATGAAACTACATTATACAGACAGGATGATACTTAGTTTTAAAAAGCGCACCTAGGCGCGCATAAGGCGCCGGGCGAAGGTGGGAGCCGGAAAAATCGCCTACGGCGGCACTGGCAAGGGGGTGAACGGAGGGCGCGCGCTTTTAGCGCTTTTCCAGATAGCTCAGGCGCAGGTGCTTCTGCACCTTTGGGGGAGGGGAAAATTAATTTAAAAAGTCAGTCCCCTGCCTCCCCGTCACCACAGCGCAGCCACCACGCCGCCGTTGCATGCTGCAGACTCATGACATGAAGGCAAGCATATCAACTTCTGTAACTATACAATATCAAAGAATATACTATTAATGGAAGAAATAAGAGGTGCGTGATAAATGCAGCTCAATTATTCAGATATGTCCTAACAATATGCATAATTATGTAACACATTACAGGCATATAGTTCCAACCAATACGATCCGTTGAAGACATTCTAAAGTACTGCCTAAGTTTCAATTGGCTAAAATTACAAAGAAAAACACAAATGACACACAAAAACATAATATGGGCATACATGTGGCTGAGTACAAAATATATCCAAATCGCACTAGATGAATATACAAATATCTAAGAGCGAATCCTCGTGGCAGATTCAACTTTTCCATTATCATAGCTGAGGCAGGAGGAAACTAAGTTGAGCAACAATGTTCTACATTTTATCAAGCACCGGACTGGGGAGATAAATTGATCAATTTCTCTTATTAATGCTAGCTGTTGTTTGTGATGATTGCAGAGACTAGAGCTCATCTATTTTCATATTGTACATTCTCATAGCAGATTTAGCAGCAGGTACTCCACTTGTCTGGCATTCAAAGGCAGCTAGGGAGTTGATCTTATGGGAATGCACTAATTGCAGCTGTTCCAAGACTAACCTAGTGTGATTATCTGGCTAGCAAGACTCATGACATGAAGGCAAGCTCCAATGATGCAATTCTCACTCAATAAGATGTTCTTTGCAGTATCTTAAGAAATTGCAAAAGATAGCTGGTTATAGTGTCAACATGATGATAGTGCAAACCTGAGACTTGGAGGGAAAAAATACTGATCTAAGTGTTGATTCAGATTTTGATAACTCTTTATTATTTCCTAGTCATTTAAAGTTAAGTATTCTGTTATTCCATAGAAGGTTTGCATACTTTCTCCGTAGAATAAAAAAAATTGTCCAAAATAATAACAAGGACATTCTCTTTCTTGTTTAAATATTCACTGCTAGAAGCTTGTTATCGTTTCATCTTGGAAGCATTCATCAGTCAGTTACCAAAACTGGGTTCCATTCCAAATCAACTGTTTTATCTCTGTTAAGTTAAGCTAGCCCAACTCTCCATTTTCATGAAGTTCTACCATGCAAAACATCTACACGAGGAAAGGTGTCATAGTTACTGAGATTTAACCTTCCAAGTATAAAGAAAAAATTTTAAAATATATATAGAAAGAAAACATCAATGTTGGCCACAGAACTATGCCTGAGCCTGAGCAACATAACTGTTATGGATGAGAAGCCAAATATTCTAATGTATTCTTTATACTGCAATGACAGTATGACATCAATAAACATGTTATGGTTTGGAAGCATGTCAAAAGGAATCTTTGTGTAACTAAAGTCAACATATTCTGAGGTGAAACATAACAAGGAATATACACTAATTTAAAACTATAACAGAAGTGCAACATTTGATATATGGGAGTGATGCAAATTGAGATATTAACTTGATGTTGCTTCTAAGAATTATACATGCATAAAGTCACTGACACCAATGGGCCTTACCAATTTACTTTAACAAGATAAAATTATGGCAGGAAGATGGGTATACTTACAATTGGAGCATCAGCTTCAGAATAACCACATGGACTAACAAGCAATAGGACTCTACTGACATCTGAAAGTGTGCCAAGAACAATACCAAATTCAACAGAGTTGGTATTAGGGGGAGCCTTCCAATATGAATGTTGTGATCCAGAATACAGAGGAGTGAGTAACGACAGTAGTGGTGCTGAATCTGTGGCTGTCTCAACCTGCAGTTTCAATGCAGGTGATTAGATGCTATAAGATTAAAATCAAAGCATGCCAAATGTTTTTTCTTCTACAAAAAATATAAAGCATAAAACTTGTAGCATGAACATTACATAGCAGTACGTAAAGACATTCCATTATCATCCTTTACAGACAATGAAGAGTTGCATGTTTTTCCATGTGACCAACCTGGCTTTCTAGGCATGTCTATAAGTATCAAATAATGCACCTAATAATGCCTTGTTGATTTAGGCTGAACTTAAAAGGATAACTAGTAGCAGACTCTTATCATGCCAATACCTAGTAAACCACATTATTTCAAGATAAACAGTCAACTAATCCAGAAAATGCATCAATGAAAGAACATTGTAATCAACATATTAAAATAGAAGCCAAGATCATACCGAATGTAGAAAGCTGGCAAATGGAAACTCTGCTAGTGATTCTTCCCCGGTAAGTAATTGTTTCAAAACTTTAACAGCTCTCTGATTACCAGAGGACTGACTCCTTTCAGAAAGACTATCTAGGAATAATGATCCTGTAACCTCATCCAGAGCTTTATATGCTGCACTATCAGCACGGGCTTTTCTTCGTGAGCTAATCAAGACCCTAACATAGTCCAAGACCAATGCATCAAGAATTATCCCATGACAGCACTTCTTGCAAATAACACCGTCCAGTGCCACTGAACGGGTTGTAGTGAGATCAACTTGGCTACTGTAACTTGATCCACCCTGATTAGACAAGCCATTGTAATTTGTCCCCTCCCTAGTATAATTTGGCAGAAGAAGGGCTCCTCTACCAGCAGAACAAACTTGACAAGCCTTTCTCCGACATTGAGAACACAAAAAGACAGATTTTGAACCTTCTGTAGATGACAACATTGACGAATCAGATAGAGTTGCCTTAGTCTCAGCCAAAACTTCACAGTTCCCACCAGAGCAGCTCTCCCCAATTCTACTAATGTTCCAAAAATCTATAACGTTATCCTCAAACTTCCCAAGACCAATAGAACCATTAATCTTATCCTCAAGAGCAACTTGCCCAAGCAATGCAAGGGTGCTTGCCACCCTGCATAGTCTGCCTACATATAATCCATCAAGCAAAAAATTTGGATTTACGGTTGCCGGATCAGTTCCTATAAACAATAAAGCTCTATCTCTTTCAGCTGCAGAAAGATTCAGATGGAGGCGCTCAATTTCCAGCTTCATTGCTTCACGGTAGTTTAGCTTTCTGTCCTACAAAATTGGATAAATTGAAATGGGCACATTCAATGTTCTATCAGGTTGAAATTTACCACCTAAAAGCTTGAATATTTATCTATTCTAATGTCATGTAACGAGTAGAATATATATTTTCTATAACCTATACATGCATTCAGATGATGCTACACCCACAAAGGGGAAAAAAAACTCAAAATGTCAATATGGTAAGCATTTTCCTTAGAAATAAGAAGAATAGGTAGATAGTCATAACATTTTTCTCCTTAATCAAGATGAGATGCTGCAATCCAGATTAACATGGGCACTGAGGCCCATACATATATCATAATTTTCTCGTTATAATGTTCCCAGGAATTTATTCTCAATTTTGGTATTAGAAGGCTTATCCTCTGGACAAGTTTGGAGCTTTTAGCTAATCGCTAAAAAGTTAAAGTGGAAAAGTTAAAATTAATTGTAACAATAAAAAGTTTAGCATATCTCCTACAGAGAGCCAGATATTCTAGAATCTTAATTGGGCAAATGACTGATAGGGATGGGGCCAGGGAAGGATCAGCAAAAATAGCAAATTCATATTGAATAAAGGAGGCTTTAGAGATGTAAAAAGGTTCAGAGAACAAAATAGAAATCTCTAAATTATCACTCCATTATAAGCATACATAACTTGAACTAAGAAGCCGCAAATAAGAATGTACACTACAGATCAGATACCACAGAGAATACCATCTCTGGATGCTCTCTCTATGACCAATTCCTATTTATCTTCTATTTGTTACATATGATGATGAAAGATAAAGAAGCATCTGTAAACTCATAATAATACAAAAAGTAATCACCTAATGAAGAAATATAAAACAAAAGTTAAAAAAAATTAAATAAAGACAAGGAATCATAAGTAACATTCAATTCAATTGACTAATGAAAAAAAACAACCGGAAATTCTAGCATAAGGACCCTAAAATAAGGTAAATTTAAGGGGAAATTGGATAAAATATCAAATAACATAAATTGTTACACGTTTGTAACTTTTTCGTGCAGTACTCAATTACACAAAATGTTATCAAATTGTATAAATTGCAACAACTTTCCAATATTTGTGTAATTACACAAAATATTACCCAATTTACAAAAAAAAATAGTACCTGGTTCGTAATATTTTGTATATTACACAAATGTCCAATTACACAAAATGTTGCATAGTAACTATTTGTGTAATTTGACCTTAAAGTTACCTCATTTTAAGCCCCTTACCATAGAACTACCCAGAAAACAACTCCTGGAGGATGATAATATTCAATGGAGAGAATTAGGATTTCATTAAGTTTTCCCCAAACATGTGTCATATGAAGTCAAAGAAACATACGAATAAGTAATAACATACCATATGTGGCCCTGCCATGAATTTTACGCAGTTTATGTACTTCTGTGTACCACTATCTTGTGGAGTTCCATCCTGGGGTGTAGAGGGTTTATGATCAGTTTCAGGACTATGGTAGTCCACAGCAGATTGGTCCAGAAAATCAAGCAAGTCACCTCCCCCATAAGTAACATTTTCTGTAACCGGCGGAAAAACAGATTCGGAAAGAATGTCACCTCCAGTTAATAGGTCAACCAAATCATTTGCAGAACCTTGTTTTGCTGATTTTGACACGGCTTGATTGGATAGAGAAGTGCCAGAAAGTGGGTTTGTGTCCGAACCAGACAAAAAAGAATTGCTGTCCTTTTGAGACTTTTTTGCAAGCTCAGTTAGTCTGGCACCAGTCCCTTTATTAGAAAATACACTATTCCAGGGGAGAGAAACTCCAAGGATTTCTACCTATAAATAGTTCCAATGCATACGGAATCATTTGGAAGAATTAGAAAACCCCACTGCCTAAATCAAAATAAAATGAAGAACGAAACAAAATAAAAAAAATGCGGGTAGGAAAGGAATTATAATTTAATATTCAAAATTTTCATAGCAATTGCAGATGAATGAAGAGAAACATTGTATCTAAGAGAAGAAAATGGCACAGTATATTTAACTGCATTTGTCCCTATGTTTAAGAAAAGTATAAAGCTATTATCCATAACAACAATAACACAGTTTCTTTGCCTGAATGATCTACTCCATTAACAGCTCTAATTTAATAATAGTACAGAGCAAAACTAATCACATGCAATTCTTTCTTGTGGTTTCCTATTACTTTGATTCATCAATCACTAAACCTCTACTTCAAATACATGCCTGTGAAACCTAGTCCAGTGTAACACATTACTTGCGCAACAAAGAGGAAAATTTACAATAAAAGAAATATGGTAGATCAGGCAACACATTTCTGAGAAGAGAAATACAGCCCTAACCATTCTGCTTCTCAATTGAAAAAATTAAAAAAAATAGAGAGAGAGAGACTAATCACCGTGCAATCTCTTTCTGGTGGTTCCATATTACTTTCTAATCACTAAAACTCTGCTTCTAATACTCAACAATGCACATGACACTCATTCCTACACAATAATTGCTCAATAGAGAGGCAAATTTAGCTAAAAGACGTACAGAATATCTAGCAACAATTTCTGAGAAAAGCCATTACCTCACCAAGAGTCATAGGACTTCCAGATTCAGCGGGATAAAATGTAAGTGCCACTACACGAGTGAGGAAGTCCAATTCTCCCTCTAGTTCTTCAGAATCATACAATAATGATAGAGAAGATGTAACTTGATCATGAAGGCGTGCACCAGCTCCGGTGACAGCCATGTCCTCAGCGCTAATTGGACCTGATAAGGGAATCAGAAGATTTGTCCCGTTTCCACACTGGGGTATGGAAGCTCCCTGTCAATACAGTCCAAAATAGGATTAGAAGACTACTCAAACTCAAATAAATCAACACAGATGGAAAACCATGCTATTTTAGGGGAACCTTTCAAAGATGAATTTAAGGATAGCATGGTAGAGTAGAAAACTTGAAGGGAAAGAGAAGGGTAAGTGTGCTTGGTAGGAAAAGTAAGAGTAGTGAAAGTAACTATTTTTCACCCTAATGCATAAAAGCAAATCATTCCAAATTGAAATACTATGAGAGAAGATGAGAGAGATGCGAGTTAAGTATGCATATTTACACAATTATCCATCGTTTTTAAAATTTTATCTTTTGATCTTAATTTCCAAAGGATATAATGGTCAGACAATATGATTTTCATTTTCTTTCGTCTCATTTTTCAACCCCATAGTCTATAAGGTTTGACGGGTTGACAGGAGGAATATGAGGTATTTTAAGGGGCTGGAATTGCTCCACTCTAGTGACTTTTTCTCTCTTCAGTTTGGGCTCATGAGGGTAGACTGATGGTAGAAAGCGACTGTAAATTTGCAGTGGAGTGGATTCAATCACCTTCTACTGCTCCTACTTTCTTTAGTACTCTAGTAAAGGATATTGAGTCCCTTGTATCAGCTAAGACGTCTATAGTTAGGTTGATTCCAAGGGATTGTAACTGAGAGGCTGATAAATTAGTGAAGGAGGGGATTGTGTGATTGTAAGGGTACTTTTATAAGATGTTCTTTGTGTTTTTTTTAGAGCTGCTGTATACGGTGTATTAATCAAGTCTTATGTAATTCTGTTTTATTAATAAATTGAGGTACTCTTTTCCTCTTTCCACTAGTCGTCTATTTCCTTCGAGAAAAAGACTACTATGAGGGAGATTTTTAATGAGGCCTCCTATTTTTATCAAAAAAAAATTCAACCCCATCGAACAATGTGCGAAAATAAAGTTACTTATTCTTTCCAGATTTCCATCTTGCCTACCAAGCACCCCAATGTTAATAAAAGATATGTTCTCTACTTTTCACTTTTCTACTCCCATTTTTCCGTCTTGTCAATTTTCTTTCCACCCTACCAAGCAAAAAGTAAAAGAATTTCATAAAAAGTTCAATGTAGACATAACTACAATCACATAAGGGAAACTGGCAAATACACCTCACAACCTAAGGAAAGAGACAATACAGAAGAACAAACCTCGACAACCATCTTAAGCCCATCTAGGTTACGGCCTGTCCTTACATCAACAGTTGAGGGAAAAGTTGAATCATCAGCACCATGGGAAACTGTGAGTAGCAGCTGACAGACATGGCAGGGTTCTCCAAGACAGATAAATAATTCAACAACATCTGCAGCTTGGGGGCAAACCTGCAAGAAACAAGTAGATGCATGCATTCCACCAAAGATTAAATAAAATAACAACATATAGAAGGGGAAACTACAATTGATAAGGTACAATATAGTTTTCCTAGATGACGAAGAAAAAACCATTAGTACCCAGATTAGATCCTTTTTCTTGAAACTCAGTAGACTGGCTCCACTACTGGAAGTTGGGAACATACTGCCAATGGGCTTCAGAAGGAAACCAGATGGTCGAGAAAGTACCTGTGACGAACAGTATGATAAGGGAATGTAGACTGATACATATAAACAACCAAATCAACTATATTTTCAATGTGAACACTGTTTTAAGATGAGAATATAAACCCTTTGTGTGGAGAAAGAATGTTCACTTAAGACAAAAACTCTAATATATAAGTCAAAACTATATCATCTAAAGAATGTGGCATGATAATCCAAAAAACAAACTCAGGAGTTTTCAACAGTAAATGTACTAAAAATCAATACTGAATCCATCTGCTAACTCGAGAATTACATACATGCAGAGGTTGAACTGGAACAGATGGTAGATGCTTGAAAAGCCTTATTCCAAGGAACATCTCTAACTGCTTTTGACGAGAACTATCCACAAGTGCATTTTTATATCTCCTCTCAAGAGTGATTTTCAGATTTTGTGCAGCAGAAAACTGCTTGAACTTTCCTGTTTCTTCATTAAATATGCTTAGGATTTGGCTATGCATGGCTTTGGAACCTGTATACAGTGTTGCATGGATATCACCAGCAAGCAGGAAAATATCTGCTAGCTGAGATACAGGAGATAAAATTGTTAATCTCTTGAACTCATCAAATGTCATGTCAAATCTCTTCCATGGTTTATCTGGGCATGGATGATTCCATGTTGTAATATATTAATATCTTGGTAGAAAAAAAATCTAATTAAAAAATGATATGATTATATATAATAGTTTAATTACTTAACTAAAAAAATGATAGTATAGTTTAATAAAAATAAATCCTTAAATTATTATTTTATAAAAATAAGTATCTGATTTTATGTAATATATTAATATCTTGGTAGAAAAAAATCCTTAAATAATTATTTTATAAAAATAAATCCTTAAATTATTATTAAAATAAATCCTTAAATTATTATTTTATAAAAATAAATCCTTAAATTATTATTTTATAAAAATAAGTATCTGATTTTATGTAATATATTAATATCTTGGTAGAAAAAAAAAATCTAATTAAAAAATGATATGATTATATATAATAGTTTAATTACTTAACTAAAAAAATGATAGTATAGTTTAATAAATCGGTTTTGATATTTTCAATGTTTACCATCGTCCCAGCACAAAACGGACGTTGAAATGCGAATATGAAAATCTGTGCCAACACATAACAAGAGGCAAAGAGTGGCGCCAAGTCAGCCATTATTAAGATTTATAGCAATCTAATTGCTTCAACAAGCCAAACAAATGTCCATCATCACCCATTTTTCTCAAGTCTCCTTTCTCGCCACTACACATTAACCAGTTCCTTTTTCTTTCAGTCATTTCCCAACTTTTTTTTTCAGCTGACTTCAATTTTGTTGGAAATTTGCATTAGAGAGAGTGAATTACTTGGTAGTTGGTACCCTCTTTAATGTTTGATCTTGTCTTTTGTTATTTATAAAGTTGTCTAGAATCCCATGTTATACAACCCAGTGTTATAGTATTTTTTTTCCTGTCATATGGGTGTTGTTTAATGCTCTTTTCTATAAAGTTTTGATCTTGTTGCTTCAAGGATGAAAATGGGTTAATTGTCCTGAATCTTGCTTCTTCTTTTTTTAAAGAAAAAATCCCTTGATTCATTCGATTGAACTTTCCTAAAAATTTGTCTTTTTTTGTTTCTTTTTTCGGATTTCATATTATGAATTTGGTGTTTATCATTAACCTGGTGTCTACACATTGGAGAATGATGAGGATTTTTTTGCTGGAATTTTTGCAGATATCAAAGTTTGTTGAATTTTTCCAAGTTTGATTTGCTATTGAGAACATTTGAACAACGTTACCTGTTTGCTCAGCCGCTGCTGGTTGTTCTTCACATTCTCAGGTGGAGTTTTCACTTGCTTGAACCATAAATTTTCTTCTTCTATATACTATTTGACTCGCTTGCACTGCTTTTATGTGTTCAAATCTTTTTCTGAATTCTTGAATGTTTCAACTTTCAAACTTGAATAACTAACTTTCAATTGAATTTATGAAATTTAACTGCTATGGAACACTAAACGGTTTGGATGTTGAGGAGTTTATACTAGCTGGTTAGTAAGTGAATAGAGCTGTATAGAGGGGAATGCTTTGTGTCGGTGAAGACCATAATATTTCCTGATCATTTTGAGAATTTTTGTTTATAGGATAGATTAGTAAACGAATGTATGTTGCTCGTTTATCTTGCTTTCATTTTGTGTAACAAAATTTTCCCAAGTCCTGACATACCTTTTAAATAATTTTGCTTAATTGCTTTTCAAGTTCATTCATGTATTTCCAATGGAATGAAATAATGACATATCTCTAAAATCGAACTGGTTAACTGTCTTATAAGAAGTAGTTCATGCATTAATTGAAATGATGCCTCTAGCAGATTTCATTCCATGGAGGTTTACGGTCTTTCACTCCATTTGAAAAGGACTTTCAGTTCAGATGTAATTATCAAGACAAGTCTGCTTGGGGCATGTCAAATGGAAACCACCTCCATAGAATATGTTTTAAACCACAAGCAACAAAGTCTTCATACTCCAATTTTGTTGAAAGCACTGAACAACCAGTATCAGTGGACCTCATTAACGGTTATTCTTGCCCAGATGAGGTAGTTGATGTTAAATGCAAAATTTCTAATGGATGGAGTTCTTCAGTTGAAGCAATAATTTCACCCGCAGATGTGGAACTGAAATATGTTGAAAATCCTAGCGTAGCTGGTGCAGAAGAGAACCTAGTCGATTTGTCAAACCAGTCAGTTGAAAATGCCAACGATTACATGGGTTTGGAGGGACCTGAAACCATATCAACTATTGACACAACACCCAAGACTCCCACTGCGGCATCTAGCTCCCTGAACTTTGATAATGATTCACTATCCAATGCGAAAACTGGTCTTGATGATTTTCTGGCTGGGGTTAACGAATCTGTTAACTCTTCGCTAGACAAGGGAGAGAATTCTGCGAAAAGCTTATTGGTGAAAATTACTTCTTCTATAACTTCTGTTAAGACAAGTGCTTCTAAAACTGTAGATAATGTTCAAGTATTAGCAGACAATAAGTTTACGAACTTGTCAAATAACTTGAAGGAAGCATCAAGTAAGGCTACTATTTTTGCTGTTGACGTGTTGAGGCATACAACTGTTGTAGTGGAGGATTCTTTATCAAAGGGGGCTTCCTCTTTCGTATATTATTATGCTTCTGCTAAGGAACGTCTTCCGTCAGAGATCAAAGACACAATAACTTTGTATGAAGGGAAAACAGGAAAAGCCTTAAAGCCTGTTGGGGATGCCCTGCAAGAGGTATCCTTTTATTTCGCATTCATATCAGTTTCATGACTCATGGTTTTGATGTACTTAGATGATCCACAAACAAACTTCTGCTTCTAGATATCTGTGAGTTGTTGGGACCAATAAAAATTTATTGTACTAAAGATAGAACAATGAGTTCAAGCATATAAAATCCCTTGGAATTCTATTTTCTAGTTCAAGGATAAATCTTGTTTTCATTAAAACCATTATTTATTCAGTTATGAGCTGCTTCTTCTTCTTTTTCTTCTTCTTCTTTTTATTTTAATTTCAGTTTGCTGTAAGCAGGTTTACATTGGTATTGAGGGTCTGGAAAGGAGTCTAGGCATTGATCCAAATGATCCTATTGTCCCGTTTTTCCTTTTCGTTGGCTCCTCTGCCACTCTATGGTATGAATGTTCTTATGTGCTCATTTTAATTATGAATTTTTACTGAGAATTATCTTTTTCGCATGGAGAGTTTATATTTTGTATCATATCTGTGCAGGGTGTTTTACTGGGTATGGACATTTGGTGGTTACTCTGGAGACTTATCTCCTAAACTGACTTTGGAACTCTTGTCTGGAAAGGAGAATGCTCTACTTATTGATGTCCGGCCTGAGGCAAGATACCATAAACTCTTTTGTCTATTTTTTTGCCCTTCCTTTTGGTCTTTGAGCAAAACAAGAAGGCACCATAGCTCAAACTTAGGTTATCTGTCCTAAGCCTATCCCACACCCCACCTGAGCAAAGCTCCAGTGAGTTTTGGGCTTTCAGTTATTGTATCATGGATTATGTATTTATTCAAAGAGACTTAATCAACCTAGTTCTCATAGTGCTTTCATGCCCCTCTTCCTTGGGTGCTATTTGCCCTCATAGATGATTAATAATCTATTATTTTTCTAAAGTTGAAATTTGTTTTTCCTGTTCTATTGAATCTGAAGTGGCTTATTTTGGGGCATTGACTTTGTCAAGGTCTTAAGAGAGAGAGATGGCATTCCTGATCTTCGACGAGCAGCTCGGTCTCGTTATGCTAGTGTATATTTACCTGAGGTCTGGTTAAACTTCACTATCTTACTTGAAAAGTTCACCCTTTTTCTCGCTTTTCCGAAGCTTTATCTTTTATGGTCATCATTTTCATTCAGGTTAATGGCTCAATACGGAGTCTAATGAAGAGTGGAAGGGACCTTGATGACTCCTTGATTGCTACTGCTATTCGAAACTTGAAAACCATTGAGGTTTTGTATCTTCTTGTTTTTCATTGTTTACCTCTTCACTGATTCTAGTTGTTTTTTAAGCTATAGCTTTGCAGAAAGAGTGAAAGAAGAAATTAGGCTCAGACTAACCAAACTCTGTAATTCATTCACATTTACTGAGAACACTTCCGCATATGATTTTGTTGCTTCGTATTTCTATGAACTTTCTTTTATTTTCTCTTCTTTGTAAACTTAGTTTTCTTGTCATACCAGGAATCTAAGTTTTTCAAAGACATGTCTCATTAGATAGGTTGGAGGAAGAGGGGAAGGGGAGAAAGGGGGTTGTAAGTGTTGAAAGTTATGCTAAGCTATTTCCATATGTGTAGAGGTTGATCATGCACATCCAGTCTTTTCCTTATTGGATGTAGCTAAAGTTAACTGCTGAGTGTGGCCATTGTTATTGACCTGTGAATCGAACATCATAATTTATATATATTTTCTTTTTCTACCACTTGTAGGGCAGGTCGAAGGTCATAATTATGGATGCTGATGGTAGTTGTTCCAAAGGAATTGCAAGATCAGTGAGAAAAATTGGGATTAAAGTAAGCATTTCTTAAATTTCAAAGTTGTTCTTTAAGAAAATAGCTCTGAGAAAAGTCATATGGTGTATTTCTTTTCTTTTCATGAATTAACATTAATGTCTTAATGTTGTCTGGCAGCTAGAGTGTCTTTGACCTAAGGAGTGAACATACTCGGCTTGATTTGAAATAATCAAAAACCCGGTTAAAGTTGAATTTTTTTATTAATTTGGTCCGTTATGGTTTTTGAAGATCTCATTTTGGAATCTGAACATTGAACTGGTGCCTTCTGTCTCAAGCTATTCTAACTCGTTTTTTCTTGATATCTTATCTCTGAGCTCTTGAACACAGACCTGGAATAAATTTTTACATTTAGTAAGTGACATAGGTTTTTTGGTATTGTGAAAAGTATTGCATATCTAATTTTTAATGTGTTTTAAAATCACAGAAACCATACCTGGTCCAGGGTGGTTTCCAGTCTTGGGTGAGCCAGGGTCTCCAAGTTAAGGAACTCAAACCAGAGACAACACTTACGATACTCAAAGAGGTATTTATTATGATGTATTCTCTTTCCTTGAATTCATATGTCTCCAATCTTAGATGTTACTGCTACCAAGTATAATAGCTATTTTACAGCTGATGTTTAACGAATCATATTGAAAAGTTACAACTAACACACCCCCCAGCATGGATGATATGCTTGAATGAATAGCATTCTTTCCTTTAACTGTTGGGGTAGCTTTACAGATTCTAAAGGTTATCCAAGGATCTTCTGGTTAGTGGTTATGAACGTTCCAACTGCTAAACTAAGCAGCATACAAAATTTGGTTAAGATTGAACAAAAGAATGGGGGAACTGCAAATTTAAATAAGACCGAACCAGTCACATAGAGATGCAAGTAACAATTGAGAAGGTCTATCTTGCTGTCTATGTGATGGTGAACTGAAGAAGAGATATTATTAGTGAAGAGGCAAACGTGAATGCAAAACTACTCCAACCTCGAATATAATTGAAGCCGGAATTAATACCAATCAACATTCCCACTCACTTGGAGATGCAACTAACAATTGAGAAGGTCCATCTTGTCATGTGATGGTAAAATGAAGAAGAAATAAAGAAACAAACAGCTAGGATATACACATCCTGTTAAACGTCCATCCTTAAAATATGTCTAGCAACTGCTAGAATGTCCTACCTTAACACACTTCCAAGCCGAATTATTACTGATCTAGGACTTCCAAATTTAGCATCCCTGAAATATTGAATAAAATGCTTTCAGCTGTTTTTTATTTATTTTATTAACATAATTTTAACTTGTGCTCACCACAGGAAGCTGAGGCAATCTTAAAAGAAATTAGTCCTTCTCTAGTGCAAGTTCTCGGGTTTGGTGCGGTAAGAGGCTCAGGTTCCTTTTGGGATATGTAGTTTTTGCAGTTCATGTGCTAGCTAAGAAGAAAGGTGTTCTTGTTATCAAAGTAGCATGAGCTATTTTAGAAGTATGTTTGGTATTTTAAGGTGGTCCAATGTCATTATTGTCCTCACATGTAACATGTGAGTTATATCTTTCAAAACCCCATCAAATGCTAATAAATATCTTTGTGGCAGGGTTCTGTAGCAGCAATTTACGCACTACTAGGTGTGCATCTTGTCCTCTGGACTCTATCAGTTCCTTTTCTTTTCGCTGTTGAATTGAAACGTGGAAGAAATGATTGATAGTGACCTGTTCCAATGTAGTCCCCCAATATGCATGTTGCACTTCATGGACTAAAATGCATATTTGTCATAAGTTCTGATTTGTAAATTATGGAGAAAGAGGAAGAGAACATGTTATTTAACATGTCTTCTCTCCAATGTAACTTTCCAGTTGTTTTTTCCCCCCATAACTATTTACATAATTTCGTCTTTTATGTTTAATAATCTTCCAATTCTTTTCAGAGTGGGAGAAATCATTACAGCTTATTGGCATTCTTGGTCTAGCCCTGGTAATCTCCTGGTTTAAAACGTTTGTGCCAGATTCTTTGATTCTAATAATGGTGATTTTAAAACTTATTCGTTGCCGGCTTGTGATTTAACTAGACCGTCTATCGGCGAGTCTCTTCCTACGAGAGCCCTGAAGATTTGAAAAAAGACATAAGGTACACCCTCCTTCAAAACACATAAAACTAAATTCCTGATGATATTGTAGACTGTTCTTAACTACATTGCTCAAACTCATGGTTTTACTTGAATTATCGTGTTTAATACCAATGCCGAAACTAAATGGTCATCGACGGCATTATTTTATATAATACTGTTGTGGAAAAATTGTTGGTATAACTGTTGCCGATGCATTACTTCTGAGGGTGGCAGGTTCTTTTGTTTGCAGTGTGATGTGAATTAGATAGATCTTATGAACTAAAGACTCGAAAGGGTATTTTTGACAGGGGGTTATTCACATTGAGAAGAATAATATGGCGACCTTCATGCATGTGTCAACTATGAGTTAGCTGTTGATAAAGTTATTATATATGTTTATCGTGTGATTTTGCATAATTATTATATATACTCAAGGATAAGTATTAAAATTCTTCATCCTTCAGACTGTTTATTATCATTTCACCAAATTTAGACAACAATTTGTTTTTTTAACTAAAATACTTCTTGAAGGTTGTTGCTAGCCCCTGTCAGATTTGGAGCTCTGGCGTTTTCATGGGTTTCCGGAAGTTAGAAACCAATGGCATTGGACTTCCAACCTCACCCTCGTCAGAAGTTCAAATCCGAGTGTTGCAGGCTGCTGCAAAGCATGAATCTAAAGATTCAGAAGATCCATCTGCTGATGCAGTAACTCCGATGAATGAGAAGGTTGATCTCTCCGAAGCATAGGTGTAGTACACTCTTTATTTGATCATCAGATTGGTGAATGCAAGTTGACCTGGCTCACTTGAAAATAGTGAACGAAGAGTTTGCACAGAAACTGACATGTCTAAACCGTAAGAACAAAAGTCCTCCATATTACCAGTTCAAATTGTACCAATAGAGTTCTGTAATAATAACCACCGACAAAGAAGTTGGATGTTGATGAATGCCTTTCAACCGATTCTAACCCAAACTTCTCAAGCAGATTGTTCGAAAATGGCATTCAATATTTATCCCCTGATAAAACTTCTAGGTTTGAGAAAAGCAGATTACAATAACGAGAGATCATATTCGAGTTGAACCGAATCAAATCAATCGAACCTGCTTTTGTTAAATATATAGAAAAAAACAGTGATCAATACAGGATCCATTAACATTCATTTGTTAAAATATACACGGCTGATCACCCAGAGATATTTACACTTTGCACATTCTTCTATATATGGTACTTCAGACTTCTATGATTCTAAAATCATTAGTTTTCAGCTTTTCATTCACTACCATGGAACTAAAATGATAGGAAATTCAACCCCAACCCTCACATGGTCAATGACTGTTTTCATTGGCTGTCAGAGAAATCTGCATCAATTACATCCCCATCAGACCCCTTACTAGATGAATCTGAAGGTCCAGTTTCACCACCCGGTGCAGGGCCTGTGGCAGCGCCGGGTTGGTTGTAGACCGACTGGCCAAGCTGCATTACTTCTTGGTTGAGGGCAGCAATGGCATCCTTCATGCCTTGTGTCGAGCCTCCAGAAATCGCATCCTTGAGCTCTTGCAGTTTCACCTCTACCTTCTCTTTGACTGCTGCAGGAACCTTGTCCCCAAGTTCTTTCAGCTGCTTCTCTGTCTGATATACAACAGAATCTGCCTGGTTCTTTGTGTCTATAGCATCTCTTTTCTCCTTATCCTCCTTTGCAAACTTCTCAGCTTCCTTTACCATTCTATCAACCTGCATATCACAATAGAATTCGGATATGTATCACGACAACGACATTTTAGATATAATTTGTGGAGCAGCTAAAAAGTTAAGAGCAATTCATCAGAGTAACACCGGAAATATCAGATATCCATACCTCATCACTGGGCAAGGTACTGGCACCAGTAATAGTGATGTCCTGCTTCTTCCCGGTTCCCTTATCGACAGCAGTAACAGAGAGGATACCATTGGCATCAATGTCAAATTTGACTTCAATCTGCGGAACTCCACGTGGTGCCGGTGGGATCCCATCAAGTCGGAAGCTGCCGAGTGATTTGTTATCCCTAACAAACTCTCTTTCACCTTGAAGTACATTAATCTCAACACTCGTCTGACCATCAGCAGCGGTCGAAAACACTTCTGATTTGGAGGTCGGCAGTGTGGTATTTCTTGGGATAATCTTGGTCATAACACCACCAAGTGTCTCTAGACCAAGTGACAATGGCGTTACATCCAAAAGCACAATATCACTGACATCTCCGGCTAAAACACCGGCCTACAATAACGGGGAGACGAAAGGAAATATGTTAAGAATAGAACTTCAATCAACAATAGGAACCATCACATTCAAAATCTATAAGCAAGCCTACCACATTCAACTGCAAAGGAAAATGTGATTTAGAGCTTTTAAGGCAACTTAATAAAGACTAAACCCACCTGAACTGCAGCCCCCAAAGCGACGACTTCATCCGGATTGACCGTCACATTAGGTTCCTTGCCGGTCATCTTCTTTACAAGTTCCTGAACAGCCGGGATACGTGTTGACCCACCAACAAGGATAACCTCATCTATGTCTTTAATGGTAAGTTTTGCATCCCCCAGGGCATTCTCCACTGGTTTCTTGAGCCTACAGAATACATTAAATAGATGATAAACTTAAAAAATTGAGTGTTAGGCCCAAAATTTAGGAACAAAATGATTCTGCCCCACGTTTTCGCTGTTACTAAAAAATAAATACTACCTGTCAAGTAGGTCTGAGCACAATTCCTCAAACTTAACCCTGGTAAGTGTGGTCTCGATGTGTTTCGGCCCATCTGCAGTGGCCGTAATGAAAGGTAAACTGCAACCGAACAAGAAAAGGATCTGTTACTAAACACCACATAGAAATTTGCACAAATTAAAGCATGAACACAAAAGAGGAGAGCAATGCCTTATGTTTGTCTGAGTCAAAGTTGATAACTCCATTTTAGCTTTCTCGGCTGACTCGGTTAACCGCTGAAGAGCTTGTTTGTCTTTCAAAAGATCTATGCCTTCGTCTCTCCTAAAGTTTTCAGCAAGCCAATCAACAATTCTCTGCAAGTGAAACAAAATGACATGCTTAAGCACTAACACATAACATAACTGACAACGTACGTTCGTCCGTCTGTCCGTCCATATACCTTATCAAAGTCGTCGCCACCCAAATGTGTGTCTCCAGAGGTAGAGAGCACTTCAAACACTCCATCACCAACCTCAAGCACTGTCACATATTAACAAATACACAACAAATCTGATGTTATCTTCAGATATTAAACCAATAAAATATTAAGTCACTCACTCATTGTAACATAGAACCTAACAGGTGGACAACATACCCGAAACGTCGAAAGTACCACCTCCAAGATCGAAAACAAGTATGGTTTCATTGTTCTTCTTCTCAAACCCATATGCCAAAGAGGCAGCGGTAGGTTCATTGATAATCCGGAGAACTTCTAGCCCTGCGATTCGACCAGCATCCTTTGTAGCTGTCCTTTGGGAATCATTGAAGTAAGCAGGGACAGTAACAACAGCTTTGGTAACATTATCGTTCAAAAACTTCGATGCATCATCAACAAGCTTTCTCAAAACCTATATCCAAAAGTAAAAACAACCCTTCAGCATAGAAATATTCTAAATTCACAAGATATTCAGCTTCAGCAGCGAAAAACTCGAATTAGACTCTTATTGCTAAATCAAGCCCGAGCTACTGAAACATAGTAAAGGCAATCCAATTCATAAATAGGGGGTAAGTAAATCGTATTTAATTTATCTAGTGTTTGTGAACATATTCATTTGACGTTTATTTAATGTTTTGTAACTAACACTTTTTTTATACAGTTAGAGTGATTATAAGATAATATTTGTTCAAAATTTTCTTAACCAATTGAAAATATAGACTCTATGCGCGGCTATTCAAACTCGGAACATATAGATATAAAACATTTCTTCTTACCAAAACTCTTATTTGCAAACCAGACAAAATAATAAAATTATATCACTAATCCTTAAATTCTTTAAACTTTACCGTTTGAACTCCAAAATTTATCTTATATTTAAATTAATCCTACTTTCGTCAATATTTAAAATGTGTAAAAATAAAATCGAATAAACAAATTTATAAACAAATCAATGTGAACATATAAATGAACAAAAACAGTTATGTTTTGATTCGTATGTTTATTAAATAAATATAAAAAATTTATTCATTCAATTGTTTATGAAATGATCATAAACAAATATGTTTATTATAACGTTGATGAACAATTTATCGAACTCCTATGTTAATTTACACCACTGTTCATAAATAAACGTAACAGAAAAAGTACGGAGGCCAGAAATATAATATACCTGAGCTGAAATCTCCTCAGCGGCGAATTGTTTACCAATGGCAGGACACTCAAGCTTAACATTTCCATTCACATCTCTGATAACTTTGTAAGAAACCTGTTTGGCTTCCTCGTCCACTTCCGCCATCTTCCTTCCGATGAACCTCTTCACCGAGAAGAACGTATTTTCAGGGTTCACAACGGCTTGTCGTTTCGCAATCTGCCCGACCAACCTATCTCCACTCTTTGTATACGCCACCACGGACGGCGTCGTTCTCTGTCCTTCCGCATTCGTAACTATTGTCGGCTTCCCTCCTTCCATGGCCGCCACGGCGGAGTTAGTAGTCCCGAGATCGATTCCCACCACTTTCTCATTTACAACTCTCACTGGCCCAATATTGTACTGTTTACCGTTGCTGACTTTAGCGAGTCGTAAGAAGGTGGCGTTTAACGACGACGAATTGCGCAGTCTTTGCCCGAAGAAAACCGGTCTGGAGGAATGGTGATTGTTTTTTCTAGAAGAAGCGAAACCCATGCCTCCAAGGACGTGGATTTGAGCGGTGGAAGACGCCATTTTTGCAGACGTACGTAATAAAGGTAACAACAATTATACGGACGATGAACAGAGAGCTAACAAAGGTTTTTCTTTGGATTGAGAATCTGAAAAACAAAGAGAAACCCAGAATTCACCGCATAAAAGAGTGAGTGAAGAATACTATGGCTAAGGTTTTAGGCTGAGCTTTAGGTTGAAGATGATACGAGGAAGGAGAAGGTTTTTAGAGTTGTTTTAGAAGAAACCAGAGCAAAGAGGGACAGTGTGACCGAGTTGGGTGGTGACACGTGGAGAGACTCTGGAATGCTCTCAAACGTTGAGTTTGATTTTGATGCTTTGTCGCTGTTTGGATGGAAAGAAAAAGAAAGTTCCAGGTGGTTGCAGAATTTGGGCTTTCCAAAGTTAAATCCATTGTTGATTCAAATAAGATCTTCTCATAAACAAAGCCCAAAAACAAAACAAAATGCCCACTATGATTGTCTATCTCATATGAGTAAAACATATTGGGTCACATCATTAAAAATTAAGTTTGAAAAAATTAATTTTAAATTTTTATAATATATATATATATAATTATATATCTTAAAACATTAAACATTAATTTATATTTCAATATCAATATTCATTATCATAATGAAAATTGAGTTAATCTAACATTGATATACTAATCAAAACAATGATTATATTTATGTAAAAACTCATTATTATAACATTTTATATTAATATTTAAATTATTTTAAGGATTTGAATTTATCAATATATTTTAGTGGTAAAATGAAGTCTTGTTTTCTGAGTTCTCGAATTCCAATAGTTTTTTTAAAAAATATATGAATTCCAATAGTTACACTTGTAAAATGTGTATGTGTTATCAATGGTTAAGAAAGCTTTTAAATATATACATATGTACGTACGTACGTATGTACGTATGTACGTATGTAAATATCTAAGATCCAATTACAATATGTACAAGCTTTTAGTCTTGTATTGATTTAAGATTATTTGACGAGTGTAATTTTTCATCTCTAAAAGGTGTAAATCGATCATAACTCAATAAATATCTTCTCATCTTCTATTATTAATTTCAATCATTTATTTTTACTCATATAACAATCTTAAAACTTTGTGAAACTACTTTAAAAAGAAATCATGTAACATTTAAACAAAATAATGATTTTGGTCTCTTTTTTACATTTTTTCCGGTTAATAGAAATGACTAAAGTTATACAATAATTCAAAAGATAATAGTTTGAAATGACAAAATATTGAACCAAGGTATTGTTAGATTATCTTTCTTTTACCTTGTAATAGAAACAACTTTTACTATCCGATTCATCGTGGCTTGCAGGAACAATCATGTTTGGCTTGCATTTCTTGATCCATTATCATGGTTATTATTCTTCATTGTTTTGATGTTACAAGGAATCTTACACGCTTTTACATGTGCTTGAATTTTTTGATTCATTGTCATGAGTTACTATTCTTTATCGTCATGGGTTATTATTTTAATTTTATACGTTGTGAATAAATCTTATCGAATATATATAAGATCTAATCACATAATATAAATTGATGATTAAAAAATAAAAAAATGAGAAGCTTTGTAAAAAAATAAACTCATTCACTAATTTATATTTATTCAATAATTATAAATTAATATAAAAATTCTTTATTTAATACATAGTGTATCGGTGAATATTTATGATAAACTAGCCGTTTCAAAGCTTGTGAATTTCTTTCTCAACGGTCACCATTTTGAAAAGAAAATCGAACGTTAACCCCAAAACTTATCACCTTTATATACTCCGCTCTCCTTTCTTTTATTAAACAAAACGAAACCTTCAATCTTTCTCAGAAACAAAATTTCAAGCTCGAAATTTTGATTCAAACAAATCTCTCTTTTTCTTTTACATTATTTCATAGAACCCATTTCCAAGCTCTCATCAATGGGTCTTTCAGTCGAGAATCCGGTAACAGAATCCCACGGCCGAACCCACAAGATCTTCTTAATCAGCAATTACCTTCTCTTAGGAGCCGCCTCTAGTTGCATCTTCCTCACCCTCTCTCTCCGCTTATTCCCTTCCCTGTGTGGATTCTTCTTCATCCTCCTCCACGTCATCGCCATCGCCGGCGCAGTCTCGGGTTGCTCCGTCGCGGTTTCGGGGTCCAACAAATGGTATTTGGCTCAAATGGTGACGATGGTGCTGACATCGATATTCGAAGGCTCTGTTTCGGTGCTCATATGGACCCGGACATCGGATTTCTTGGGGTATTTGAGGTCTTACGTTAGGGAAGAAGATGGGGTTATTATACTGAAACTGGCCGGCGGGTTGTGCGTGCTGGTTTTCTGCTTGGAATGGGTGGTTTTGGGGCTCGCATTTGTGTTGAGGTACTATGCTTTTGTCGAGGGTCATGGGATCGGCAATGGCGGATCGTTGAAACGGGGGAATGGGAAAGTTGCAGATGAGGATTTGAAGAACTGGCCTTGGCCTTTCCAAGTTTAGAAGACAAGAAAACTCTGGGTTTTGTTTTTTATTTTTTGTTAGGCAAATTTGAAATTCCACCGAGTTATATCGTAAAAATACTGATGATTTTTACTGTTCTTGTTGTTGTATTGCTTCTGTTTGTGATCAGTTCAAAAGTCTGATTAACGTTGTTAATTTTGGTTTTACTTCACAGTTCATAACTAAAATGAGGTTTAACTTATTTCTTTATTTTTCATATTCTGGGCAGTCCAACCTGGGCTGTCGTGAAACTGACTTCTGAGGCCCTCGAAAGGCTAATGTAATGTTTCCTCTACATTCATTCAACGGTAAACAATGTTTTCTTAAATATTTCCTCTTATATTAAACTTAAAATTTAATTTAAAAATTGAAATCTTTATTTCACACCCGATTTAATTCGAGCCCAGAAAGACTTTTATCTGATTCAAAATTTAATCTTATATTAAGTTAAGACTCTCATCTAATTCGATAATTATAATACTATATTAGGTCGGGTCGTTTTTTTCTATCTTAAACTTAAATCCAAATGTAACTCAACACGACCACACTCTCAAAAACTCGATTGAAACCCGAATTTTTAAAACAAAAAATTGACCCACTTAAATCAAGTCAGATCATATTATCTAGATCTCTGATTACTTTTAATTATCGTCAGATAAGGTCAAAAATTATAAAATTCGAGTTAAATTTCAATCTCACTTTCGAACCTATAATTATACTATACCATGCATTGTATTGTTGAGTAAAGTATACAAATAGTCTCTTGTTTTGTTGAGTTATCTAATTATTTAAAGTTACAAAATGGTCATTCGACTATTCATATGTTCTAAAATCATCCTTTTTCCGTTAAAATATTGACGCTCGTCTAAGCTACCGACTGAAATGTGATAAAATTATATTTTAATGATGTCTACTGGCACCATCATTGCTTTCAAGCATTGACTCGCTAGCATAATGTTTCAAGCATTGGTTCGACGATAAAGATTCAATCCACAAAATACAACAAAAACGATTCTTAGATAAAAATTTATCATATCTCAATTAACAGGTAAATATTTATCTCAAAATCCCGTGTCTTTTATGTTGCTAATGGCTTTCCTAGCTCCCTATGTTGTCTATTGATGAAATAGAGCTTGTGCTCCAATTAGAATGGAAAAAATATGATGTAATTCTTTTGTCTTTTCTATTTTATTATTTATATGCTTACATTTTGGAGATCATGGTTTAAATTAGAAAAGTCCTTTCTAGATCATTTCTTAGTCTCCATACTGTCAAATTCATGGGTGAGTGTTACCTGTTATACATGTTTTTTAATAAATTTTGATTTTTGAGTCCTGATCCTCTCCATTTACTCTTAAACATGTTTAGAGTGTTCTTGTGGAACCTACAAGAGGAAACACAGACATCGGCCTTGCACTCATAGCTGCCTCAAAAGGATATAAACTTGTCTTAACAATGCCGTCATCAATGAGTTTGGAAAGAAGAGTTCTTTTGAAAGCTTTTTGGAGCTGACCTTATTTTAACTGATCCAGCAAAAGGCATGAAGGGGGCTGTTCAGAAAGCTGAAGAAATTGTGAATCTACATCCTTCAACAGTTTGATAATCCAGCAAATCCCAAAGTCTGAATTTACAGCTCCTTATTAGTGTCTTCCTGAGTTTTGTGGCCTTGGGTAAAAATTCATATTTCCTTTTGCAGATACACTATGCGACAACTGGTCCAGAGATCTGGGAAGATACCAGAGGCAAAGTGGACATTTTTGTTGGAGGGATTGGAACTGGTGGAACTATATCTGGAGTAGGTCGGTTCCTTAAAGAAAAGAATCCCAACATAAAGGTGATAATCCGCTTTTAAATAATCCTAAATGGCATTTATATTACATGTCCTTCTGAACATTATCACTTTGAATTTCGGGGAAATTTTTTTAGAAAATTTATGATCAAAGAAAAGCAATTTTTTAGCATCTACCAACAGTACTGATTTTCTTTAAGGAATTCTTTTTATTTTATTTTTCTGTAAGGGCCTTGCCTTCTTTTGCCACTGAATAGCTGACTGTTTGTTTATGACTATGGATCTATCAGGTCGAACCTACGGAAAGCAACATACTTTCTGGTGGAAAGCCTGGTAAGAGGAGATAACCTTCTTTTTTTAAAAAAAATATAATTATCTTCATGTGTCAATTTTTAGGAATGTGCATCTTATATTGACACCCCATCTCCCCTTATCAAATATAGGTCCTCAGAAGATTCAAGGGATTGGAGCAGGTTTTATACCTGGGAATTTGGACTAAGATGTGATGGATGAAGTTATACAGGTCTGAGTTTTGTTTTCCTTCTTCCTGGCTATCTTTTTAATATCTGTAAGTCACTTTTTTGTCGCCTTAGTGTCGTTGAATTGGTAGTTGAGGTTTTCATTGTATTAGTTTCTCTAATGGCTTCGGTTCATGAAGTCATGTATCCTTCTGATGAATTTGAATTGACAGATATCCAGTGATGAAGCTGTTGAAACTGCAAAGCAATTAGCCCTTCAGGAAGGTTTGATGGTAAGTTCATTTTCAACTTTTAAGTGAAATTGTGCTCAGAAGCAAAAAAGGAACGGTTCTTTACCAACATTAATTTGTTATTGGCATGTTGTAGGAAGTTAAAACAAATGAGAAGAAGTCATTTCTCTTTGCACATATGACCTTAGTAACTCAAAAGCTTGATCTAATCTTAAACAATCAGAAGGTTCTTGAACTTGGCTCATTTGGGAAGTAAGCCATGTGGCTTGAGTTTATGGAAGACTTTCGAAACCCTAGGGAAATAAAAAAATACAAAAAGTGAACGAAATAGAGTGGCAATTGAATTCCATTTGTATATGGTGTTCTACATGTGCTATTGTTAAAAGTAGAGTAATTCTCTGTAAATTACTTGTATTTCTATGGAAGACTTGTTACATATTTATATATAAGTTGTAGCCTTATCTTGGAAACTCTTAAGTTAGGAAAGAATCTAATTCTAGGGAAAGATATAATCCCTTAAAGTTAGGGATTGTAAATACTAAAAGATATCCACATAATCCTATCTAATATAACATTCACAATCTATTTTCTGACAGCTATAACATTCGTTCATTGGCTAATTTGATTCATTATACTATGTAATATCAGGTTGGCATATCCTCTGGAGCAGCAACTGCTGCTGCAATGGAAGTTGGTAAAAGACCGGAGAATGCTGGGAAGCTGATTGCTGTAAGTATCTTTTGAATATACTAAGAACTTGGCCTGCAGTTTTCAAGTAGGATACTACTATTTTGGAAATTATAAACATCAAATATAACTTGAAAGCTAGAAACAAGTATGGAGGTGTCAGTCTTTTGTTAAACTATAGGAATGACATAAATTGGACAATTGTCACATTGAATAGCCGAGTAATATTAAAGAATGACATGAATTAAGATTTGTAAATTCTAAAATTAAGATCTGTGAAGTAAATAGAAGCTTCCAAACATAGAATAGTGGACTTTGGATAGAAGGTTACATGAAGTTGCCTGGTAGTCTGCTAGCAAGTAGCCGGGGGGGCTCAGTCTTTCCTTTAAAAGACATCCAAATATGACCAACCTGAAGCCAAACCCTCTTCTTGTTTTGTTCACTTCTTTGGTGCACGTGTATGTTCGTGTATCTTTGGAGGAACTAATAAAAGCAAAACTGACACCTAATAGATTTACCTGTATTCTTATTTGCCTGGCTGATGGTCTGTGTTATACTGGATTCTAAAAGTATCACTCCCTCTCTTTAGACTTTCTTTTTACTTGTTGACATTAACAATCCGGAAGTTTTAAAAGTATGATTTCCATTCTTAAAAACTACCCATCTTGCCTTTGGCCATTAGCAATCAGAAAACCAGTTGCATAGATCATCATCTCTCACCAAAATATATATACACACGATTGCATGCTTGTTCTTTTCCCATTTTCGGTACCTATTCAACCATTAATATGATATATAACTCATAAGTATTTGAATGCTTTCAGTTCTTGTTTCCAAGCTTTGGTGAGCGATACCTCTCTTCGGTACTTTTTCAATCTATTCGAGATGAATGTGAGAAAATGCACCCTGAACCATGAAGTATCCTGTATTTTTTTTTCATGAATAAAAACAGTTTTTCCTCCATAGAGATGTTGGAGCATTTTGGTAATTGTATGTAACCATTGAGAAGGCATTTCCTTGAAATTCTTCAACTATGAGTTCTGATGGCAATAAAATTGAGAGGGGGTGTTCCGCTGTCTGATATTTTACTGTTGAAGCAGTCCTCGAAACAGAAAAATATTAAAAAGCTGCCTTTCTAACTCTAGTAGGCCAGTGTTCATTTTACTTATTCAGTGGTTATGTTGTTTCGATTTTTCATCAAGTATTCACGTAGTCGATTTTTTGAACAGCCTCATGTTATACGCACGTTGTTACTCGTCCGAATCCAAATAACATATGTATTACCTAAGAGCAAGGTTCAAGTTTCAGACAATAGGAAACTCGGTTCAAGTAAAAGTATGTTAAGCCTTGTCACAGATGGCCAGTAATTAAGGGTATTGCTAGGCAGATGCCTTCCATATGATCTAAAAATCTGAGGTCACCAACACTATTCTAATGCTCATCCGGGCTCAAACACCGATGTTGAAAGAAGACTTCATTCTCCCAATGAGGTTCGGCAATGTCTTCATGTTATCCTCGATCAATTGGTTAACGCACGACTCCAACTCATTGACTGCATCGGTCTTGTTTTGTTGAAGTTTAGCTGATTCAAATTTGTCTTGGCAGACCGTCAAGGATTGATTCATCCTTTCCTACATCAATCAGAACAATCATCCATCAATGTATTAATATGTTGTAATATCTGGACGAAAGGTTAATAGAACAGCAGACTCTGAACATGGAGAATCCTTAGTTTGAAAGTAGGAAAACAAGATTTCTTAAGTCATACATCAAGTTTCTCTGCATCGGACACGAGCATTGGCTGTATTACCTAAACTACTCGTTTCCCTCTTCTTTGTTAGATATTCTTGTTCCGCTGCACTTCTATCATATCATCTAGTTTCTTGCTACAACCTCCAAATCTATGATGCTAAGATAGATATTAAATTCCAGCTACTTTGGAATAATTACTCACATTCGATCAGGTGTAAACTACCAATCCCTTTCCACTAATAACATTTTCCATTTGCATGTTCTTCAGCACTTACAAACTAACCTCAAGTTGTCATATACTGCCTTTGAGCATTTTCTAATAAGCATGCAATGCCGGAATCATGGGGCGGGACATCAGTCCAAAGGACTCCAACTTAAGCACACGGATAACCATTTTCAGGAATCAGAGCAGAATTCACCCAGAAGCTCTGTTCTTAGTAGGAGAGGAGAAGACTCACAACCAGATATGTTCGTTCGGTCACTTAGCACGAACTTCACTTCTTTCAAACTCATTTGTGTGCTGAACGACCCCTGCTTTTGAATGGTGTCACTGGCCTGACAAAGAACTCTGTATCAAAGGAAACTGGCAATGGATACATCAAGAAGGTCGTGGAAAATGGAAAGGCCCCTCTCTCACGGAAAGCTAAGAGCTTGCTCGAAGACAGCCCAACTAGGGGATTTTACCTCTTTTTGTTGAATTGATTCAGGCGATCAAAGGCAGACTGCAAAAGGATGTTTGATGTGAGCATTCCTAGAACATTATCCAGAATCATGGGCCTGGATGTTTAGAGGAGAGGCACGGTGTATTGCCATTTGATCACATCCGCTCCCCAGATTAACTCTTTTTTTAGAAAATGCATGTAGTGAAAGAAGAATGCAAGAGCAATGTGCTAACTTTCGGAAACCACTCTTCTAAAACAAAACTCCGGAGAAAAAAAGCATAGACTAAGAGCAGCTTGATCTTAGTACGATCATGGAAAGGAAAGATCCCGAAGTTTGTTAAGACAGAAAGCAAAGTGAGGATAAAATATTAGCCATAGAAAAGTGAAAGCTGTTCAATGAAGAGAATGATGAAGTCGTAAGTAGCTTCCTTGAAACAAAGGTTTGAAAACATATGAAACTTAACTTGAAACGTGGCCATTTCGTCCTCAAAATGATGTTGAGCACTAACAACGGGAACACTACAATGTTCTACACAATTGCTTATCTCCTCTTCTTTCCTTGTTCTATCAAAGCATTCATATGCACACTTGAAATACGTTTGCTGCAACCAATCATCACAACAAATTTAAACAAAATCAATAAAACCAACACAATCAAGAAGCTCAAGTCATTATCAAAACTTGTCAGAAAAAAACAAACAAACTTGGCATCTGATAATATGACACAGAAAATGTAGAGTCTTCTAATATCTTAAGAAACCAGCAAAGTTCAAAGCTTTGCTTTCAAATCTCAATTTATTTCCAACAATTCCTAAGAAAACAAATACTCCAGAGAACTCATATTTCTATGTAAATATTTGAGTTTGGGGTAGAAGGAGAGGGAAACCAAGAGTGAAATTGATGTGGTCTTGGACAGGAGCAAGTTGAGTTTGAGCTGCTGTATTTACTTCATTAAGTTTTCTTCTCATTCTTTCTGAAACTAACTGCTGTTCTACTGCTTCTATATGATCCCATTTCTTGTCTTCCCTTTTTCTTCTCCCCGTCAATTTGATTCAAGAAGGGATACAGAGAAATTGAAGTTATGGTTTATAGGGTTTTCTGGTAGGGGTTTATTTAGGGCTAATGAAAAAATAGGTGTATTCATCAAGTTTGATCAAGTTTGATGATAAAAAAATTATTGTTATTTTTTTAAGATTTAGATTCAAATATTATAAATATCATAACATTAATAAAAAAGTAGATTTAAAGAAAAAATAAGTACTAGACTATGTTTTTTTGCTTTTAAATACTTAAATTATTTTTATTAAATTAAGTATGCAAACCATTGTATTTAATTATTTTAAATCTTATTAATTTTTTAGTTAAAAATATTTTTTGACCAATAAAATGTTGACACGTCATAAAATTATGTACTTTTTTGATCAATAATATTTTAAGGGCTTAAAGTAAAAAATGATATAATTTAAAATTTTATTTTAACAAAAAATACTTAAAGTACTTAAAATGGTTACAAATAATAATTTAAAAACTTACTTTGACCACAAAATAGTTTAGTTACTTCAAATATATATATATATATATTAGTAATTTTTTTAGTTTTATTTTTTCAGCTAATTTTATCAAGAAATAGAAGATCATACAAGAAAAAAAAAGTAAAAATTCATTCATAAAGATTCGAACAAAAAGTAGATACGAACAAATCTGATTGCTACAACATAAAAACTACATCAGGAAAGTAAATTATTGAAATACCACAGGCAAAACACAAATGAGAGTGAGCATTGTAAGAAGAAAATCATGTTATAAAAATAGAGAAAAATATGTCATAAAAATAAAAATTATTAAAAATAATAAAAAATAATGATACAAGATTAAAAATATCGACAATGACAATCAACATTAAAATTAATGTCTTATTTCATAAATAGAAAATGAGAATAAAAAAAAGGGGCAAGCGGTGGCAGAGAAAATGAAAAGTAAGCGTTAGGGTATATTAATAAGAGAAAATAATTTCAGTGACCGAAAATGCCTTATAATATACAATTTTAATCAATTTTTTTTGAATTTACGAAAATGACCAACAAATTCGCAACGCGAACTCCAATTTCGCAATACAGTTTCTAAATTCGCAACACAAAAGTTAAATTCGTAAAGTGTGTTTATTTTCGCAACGCAAATTTTATTTTCGAATTTGAAACACAATATTAATTTCGCAACACAAATATAATTAGTGTTGCGAAAATGAAATTCGCATTGCGAATTTGAAAACTGAGTTGTGAATAGTTGTGTTTACCTATATCGGTAATTAGCGATGCGAAATTCGAGTTGTGAAAACGAAATTCGCGTTACGAATTTGAAAAACGCGTTACGGTTTTGGAGAATCGCGTTGCGAATTTAAAAACTGAGTCGAATAGTTGTGTTTACCTATATCGGTAATTAGCGTTGCAAAAACGAAATCCGCATTGCGAATTTGAGAATCGCGTTGAGATTTTGGAAACTGTGTTGCGAAACTGGAGTTCGCGTTGCGAATTTGTTGGTTATTTTCGTAAATCTAAAAAAAAAATAATTAAAATCGTATATTATAAGACAATTTCGGTCACTGAAATTATTTTCTCTATTAATAAGTATACAAGATGACAACTTTTTTTTAAGTAATTATTTTAGATTAAGTCTAAAAAATATATCATTTGTTAATTTTAAATATCTATTTTTTTACTTGCCTAACATTTCTACTGTTATTGTTTTAATGTTTTATACCCAACAATAGTTAAAAATTTATTATATGACACGTGTTAAATTTATAAAAAAATAAATTTTATTTTTAAATAAATTTTAAAATATTATTTTAAAAATAAATTTTCTCAAAAATATTAAAACTCTAATTTTAATTTCTTTTATATCATCATCAACCATTTTCAACTGTCATCTCTGTCTCTAAAGAGTTACCTACTCGTCTCCGTCTATTCATTAATTGACCGTCATCCTTATTATCACCTTAATTATTTAATTCTTTAAATTTAAATCCTTAAAATTCTGTCTATCAAATACTAATTCATAAAAGTATAATTATGACATAATAAAAACATATATACAAACCACCCAAGTAAAACATAATCCCAAAACTGGAGAGGTATCCGATGCGGAAGCATTAATACACAGTTAAAAAAATGTATTACTGAAAATATTTTTATTTTTTTAATATTTTTGATAAAATATTATTTAAAATATTATATTTTTTACTAGAAATATTAATATTATACGCTACCTAAAATATTATTTTTCTACCAGAAATATTAATATTAGACGCTACCTAAAATATTATTTTTCTACTAATTTTTAAATAAAAAAAATAATATTTTAAATAATATTTTACTAAAATATTAAAAATAATAATATTTACGATAATATTTTTTGACAGCATATTAAGCTGTGTAGGTAAAAATTACTACAAAAATAAAGTAAGGGGCCGTAAAGTTTTGGGGAAGTGGAAAATAATAAACTATACAAGGACAGATTAGTCATTATCTCTCTGATTTTTAGGGTTAGGGTTTTGATTCCTCACTCCCCATCCCCTATATAAACCTCCCTTTAGCTTTGTGTACCTATGCAGTCTAATCTGGGTTTCTTCATATTCCATACGTTTTTAATTTGTTCTTCATTTAACTAGTTTTTCTTAAAGGAAGCCAATTTGCAGAGCAAAGGCGTCAAATTCATGTTAAATGGCGTGATTTGCATTGAAGGTTGGCGATAACGATAAGCGATTCTCCGTGCCCATCAAATTTCTATATCTCGTTTTGATTGTGGCCTCGAACAAGTCGCTACATCTTTTTAATTTTGGATTAATTCCCTTCTCTTATGATTTTCGATTTCAGAACAAAAGTTCGAGTTTTTTTATATAAAAACAAAGCAGCTTGTTGATTTTGGGTTATCATAATTTTCATAAACAATGACAGATCTGGGTTAAAGTTTAATTTTGAATGCGAATTTGAAGGGAAAATCGATGGTGTTATCAGCTAATTGAATGGATGTTTAAGTTTTCTTGATAAAGAAAATCAAGATTTTAACTTTGAAGAACTTGACTTCAGTTTGTTCACCAGTATTAGATCTTCATAGTAAGCAAAAAAGGAAAAAGATATTGTAATTTAACCCAAACCCTAATTGTATTACAACCAAACCATTGTTCTCTATAGTTTAATAATGCGGTTTACATCAGTAAGTTTGAAACTCAAACATATATATATGGCCATACACTCGATTAAGAAAAAACACCAGAATAATAAAAAAATAATCAAGGGTTAAGATTCAGAGAAAAGATGAATCACACAAATCTGTTAAATCGCTTTCTTCCATCCGTAGCATTGGTTGGCGTAGAAAGTGTTGAATCAACACTCATGTTGCTTACAGACCCTTTGTTTGACCTGAATGATCCGTTCCCTTGTGGAAATGGGTATGAAAGCCTCCGGTTTGACTCGCTGCGGGGAGTTCCAAAGTGTCTCTCTTTGGGGTTACTGCTAGTTCTGGCTTTGGTTTTTGTTGAAACTGTTGGATTCATGTAGTTGGGAATCGCAAATGGTGGGCAGCTCATGAGGCTGTCATTGTCCTTAAAGTGCATGTCAAACGGTGAAGCAGCTCTACTAGCCCTTGATATTGAGTACTGGTTTTTACTAGAACTTGAAGGAGGTGTTCGTGTCGGTCTTGTTGCAGAGTGAATTGTGGATTTTGGTGTTGGAGTTTCTGTAATGTTGTCGTAGGTGAACTGTCTTTGCTTGCTGCTGCTCGATGGAGGCCTTGAACTAGGCTTCAGTTCGGTATTTGGCCTTGGTGTTAGTTGGAAACTCTTCATGCCTTGGCTTTCAACAACACTGACTGGAGGTAGGTGACGATCCAACCGATTCCACCACCATGGAAATCCGCTGGAAAGACCTGAAACACCTGTGTGACCTGATTCTGGGCCAGCTCTCCATAGCTGTATGAACAGAAGTTTTAAATCATTTAGAAATCGGACAAGAATTCTTCCATTTTAATTGTGTTTGTCAATATTAAGTCAAATGCACACACACCAAAACTTTTTCTACTTTTGGGTGTTTTTGGATGATCATACTCAATATCAATGTTCATATACGATGCAATAGATGCGGATACTTTCAGAAAACGAAGGTTCGAAGCATATGCTCATAAACCATCCAATATGGTACAGTTGAAACAGCCCTTATGCTGGTAAAAATAATGCTACCTGGTTCGAATATGCATATGCCATGGTCCTTTTTCTCTTAATGGCTGCCTCTGCTTTTCTCCGCTTTCTTTCTTCTCTTTCCTCTTTTGTTATCATGCTATCATCCCAGTTTTCGTTTCCTGCCTCAGACTGATCCAACATTCGTCTAAATTAGGCATTTAACAGTAATAAAGAGAACAAACATAAATGAAATAAACATGAATGTATGTATGCTGGTTTCATTTGGTTCAATAACCACCAACTTACTGCCTGGCTTATCCATTTGCCCAAGGTACTCTCGGCTTCCTTATCGTTCTTAAACTGAGCCTGTGCTTGGTTTTCAAACATCTGGATCCGGGATGACCGAACCTGAGACTGAACTCGCACCAAAAGCTGCATATGTTTCATGGCATTCGTAGTTTGGCGTCTCGCATTCTGACCTCTCACCACTCCTTGAAGCCTCACTAGGCCTTTCAAAGCTCTAAAACTTCTCCTTGCCTGTATGAGAGGTTTGATGATAATCAAGTTGGGAATCAAATATCGATGCAAAACATGTTGGTCTAAAAGTACATACGGTGCATCACACAACATGATAGCACCGACCAACACACATGACAACCTGTAGCATAGCCATTAATATCAGATGGCTTTTTACATTTCTGCTTATAATGTTTCCATGGGGAACTATGTTCATTTACAAATATATTAATATCAGCAGGTCATAAAGTGAAGGGGAAAGTGACCCAATATAGACCAGTTGCCCTCATGGAAGTTGCACCTAAAGTATACTATTAATTAGATTAACGAAGGACTTACCTTATAACCTCTATAGGCCGCTTGGATTTGGGTTGCTGAAGTGTTTTGGTTCCTTAAAGTTGGTTCTGGTTGAGGACGAACAATCCTAGGAGGAGGAGCTTTTGGAGAAACTACTCGTGGAGAAGCAGCTCGTGGGGGAGGAGGTGGAGAAGCAGCTCTAGGGGAAGCAGTTCTTGGAGAAGCTGCTCTAGGGAGGAAAGCTGCCCTAGGAGAAGCAACCCTAGGAGAGGCAATCCTTGGAGAAGGAACCCGTGGAGAAGCAGATCTGTGAGGCACAAAGGGCGGTGTTGTTGGCTGCTCCGGAGGTGAGGGAGGCCTGAATATCAGGTTATGCTCTCGTTCAGCCTCCCCAAAAATTTTCTCAATACTGCTGGGCTTTCTGAATAGTGGAAGGAAGGAGTTGGTTTCTCCATGCCTTAATTTTCCTAGGCCTTTCTTCTTTTCTTTATCACTTCTTTTGTCCGATTCCTGAAATGAATATAAACATGGAAAACATAAGGTATCCTTTCAGTAACATTTAGAGAAAATTCATGCTTTACAAGCCGAGAATGGTAAACCATGTCTATAAAAGGGGCAGAAGAACTAATTTTCAGTACTGCTCCGCATGCACGAGAATACGAGATATAGATAGAATTTGCTAATGCTATGAGATCGGAAATAAATACATCGAAATCAATAGCTGACCATGGAACAAAACAGACTTCAACCAGAAATTTCACACTCCAATTAAATACATCAATAGTTCATCAGAAGGTGACTAATTGTATCCAGTTCTGTTTTTGACCCTTTTTTTCCAAACTTGGGGTCCTTAAGCTCTGCCTCTTCTATCAGTAAATCACATTCTAGTGCAAATTTGAAGCTTTCTACTATCAAAATATAAGAATAATATCATCAGCAACATTCAATCTTTGCACAAAATCACGGACAAATTGGTAAAGTCTGTATGCACCACTGATAAAATAACAACTTACATTATTTAACTTTTCCTTGGAATGTGGTAAGAAAACTCTTTTAATTGCAGAAAACCAACTTCCCCTCTTTCCCATACTGCAGCACGGGAAGAAATAGATTAACTAGATACCAGCAGCCTCAACCGAGTGTTATCAAAATGTCGATCCTTCTATCTGCAGACATTAAAGCATGCATAAGAATGCTTCTAATACAAACAATACGGATGAAAAACAATATGTAATTGAAAAGTTTTTCCAGTAAATAATGTTTCTTGCAGACTTGAGAATTCAAGTTCTCAACCATGTCAGATATAACTGCCTGATAAGAATCATGAAAAGGAACTTTTCAGGCCTTCATGAATATGATCTGAAAGTTTCTTGGTGAAGAACAAATATTAGAACTCTGAACCTCTCGTAAACACGATAATAAGAAATTAGCTCGATTATTGAGAGGGAAAGAAGTCAACAAGAAAATCATGGCAACTCAGGATCCATAGTTCCATACCAACAACAGGCCAGAAAATTTATATAAGGTTATATCCACTACCAACAATGAATCAAACAAATACAAATTCGAAGAACTCCATACGACATCTTCGTAACCAAACCCGCTTCGATGTTAGTTGAACAAAAAGCAGCCTCTAATTTCTCAGTTGACATCATTAAAAATATAGGTTTAACCCACCATATTGTTTCAGGTTCCAAAATATGATCAAAACTGATATCAGTCCAAATCGAAGAAGCATACATACACATATATACATACATACGGGCAGAAAAGTCCAAAAGAAATCACTTTTGTTAAACACCAAGAAACATATATTTGTCAAATTTTTAATATAATTAAAAACAAATTATAAATGAAGCCTTCACAATCAGCATAAACTTCCTTAAAAGAACTTTTCCAGAAGAAACTTCCCCTAGCAGAAACTAATAAAAGATAACAATTTTCCAAGAAAATATCTGACCCTTAGATAAAAGAGATCCAAAGAAAGGTTAATAATAATTCAAAAAATTTTAAAAAATGAAGAAAAAAAGCTCACTTTTTGAGAATTATAGTTATCTACCCTTTCCCTGACAACATAATTAACACACATCCAAATTCATCATGAACACCATAATTAACAAAAACCCAAAACCTTAAACACACAAATATACTTTTAAAAAAACCCCAAAAAACACCAACTTTAAAAGAAATCATACATGTATCATGTATGGTTACCTTAAATGGAGAGCTTCCAAATCCCAAATTCTGCAAAGAACCCTTCAAAAAGCTGAGCTATAAGAAGCTAGAGAAAAGAAAGAAAGAAAGGTAGCAGTAGCCAGACATGGAAGACCCTTTTTTTTTCTTCTTATTTTAATTATCATTCTCTTGCTTTTGATTACATGGGGTTTATTTATATTTTCTACTAAAGAAAACAAAAGAAACTGTGGGGTGTTTCTCTTTCTAATTTTCTATCTCTAAAAGGCCTTTAATGTGGATCTTTCTTTGTTGTAGCTTTGGGTGCTATGAAATTGTACTACTTTTCTTCTCATTTCTTTTATCTCTTTTGCTACCTTTCACCTTTTGTTGAGTTTGGAACTGGTGCTGGGTTTTTTAATATAAAAATGAAAAAGAAAATTCATCAGGCTAATAATGATGATGATTAATAATATTAGAATTGATAAGGAAATAGAGATGGGTTGGCCATCTCTTACTTGTATGGGACGACTATTTGAATTTCATATTATTTTCGTAAGTATTTTTATATTTTTATTTTAAGGTTTAATTTAGAGTTTATGACTCTCGTAATAATTTCCAAACAAGGGAATTGCATGATAATGAGAACTTAAAATAAAAATATAACAAAATTCTTCTAAATAAGAGTTTATGAAAAATTTACTTTTCATAAAATTTCATTTTAAATAATTGCTCTTAAATTAATACTTGGATTAAGAATCTTCTCTTGTACCTTTAATAATATTTTTTCTATAAATTTTAAATCCTTTTTAATAGTTTGGATGATTACAACGTAATATTTTTTTTATAATTTTCTTAATCATTGATAACACGTAACTCTGCAGATGTAACTACTTAAACACAATACCTTAAGAGATAACAATATTTTCTTTAACCACTGAGGTCATTCAATGGATTATTTTTTTTTGACAAATTGTAAATCTAATCGTAATCTTATCTAGAGGTGAGGGGAACGGGGCCTCTAGGGGAAGGAAGAGGAGTATTTCTAGTAGGTCTAAAAACCATGACCTAAAAAAATACGAGGAAACAAAGATGTGACAAAATATATTTTCTCCACCGGATTGATTTTAATTTAAAAAAAAAACACATATGATAATATTATCATTATTGCGTGATATAATTTTTATGTTATTTTATAATTAAAAGTTAACATGGTTAATAAAAGTACTAAAGTAATAAATAAAATTCAAATACTAATACTAATTTAAGAGTAAAATTTTCATGTATCAATTTGAAAGAAAATATTTAATTTAAATATTAATTTGAGCATAGACAGATTGAGGAGGGAGCGGTTAGGGGTAATGTTTCTCTGAAAATTTAAAATTACCAAAATTTTAAGAGCAATTTTATAAATTTGTATCTTCTAAAATTTTAGAAATTTCCTCAATATAAAATTTTGAATAATTCCCTAAATTTAAGAATAAAATTTTTCACATATATTTTTTTTAAAAATCAAATGATTATTTTGTTTTCTATAAAAAAACGATTATAATGTTTCATTAAATGTATTTTTGATGTGACCGATAATTTAGATGACGGTCTAATATGGTCTAATTTGACAACATGACACATAGTTTATAAAGTCAGAATCATGCCCGCACTTGCAATTTAATCAATAATAAATTTAACTCAATTATCATTTTGACTGACATTAAACAAATATTTTTCGACCCACCTGTCCCCTTTGACCGGGGTCTCTTCATGTTTATTTTCATTTTGATTATATTTTTGTAATAATATTTTTAATTTTCGTAAAAATAATTATTTATCGATATATAATTTAATAATTTATTAGTTACAATTAAATATTATAAAAATGATCATAAATATTTTTTATTACATATTTTTTCTGTGAATATTTCATCATTTTCTGATGCTAATGTTATTTTTTTTTTAATTTTCACTCATTCGACGATCATAAATCTATAATAACAAAAGAAAAATATCTTTATTTAACATTATGATTATATTAATCTATATGAATCTCTCTATCTTAATGTCGTATATTTTATTTAAGATTTTAAATTCAAATATGCATATTATTGAAAATAAATTTATATATATATATATATATATATGAAAATATGACTGTGTTTGATTTGGTGGGGTCATTATCAATCACATTATATTATTTTATATTAAAAAGGAGGTTACGTTTGGCCAATGTTTTAAAAGATTACAAATTTAAATATTCAAATTATAAATAATTTAATGTTTTTAGGAAGATTATGTTTAATTTGATTATTATATTAAAGAAAAGGTAAGAAGCACAGTTAAAGCTTTTATTCAAAAATCCATCATTTAATGTTTTTGGGTAGGGTCCTAAGTCCTAACTACAAGGGATCCATTTCAATGGGAGCCTAACAAATTAAGCTTTTGTATAATGCATTTATTATGTTGGTGAAAAAGAATAAAAAATTATTTAAATGAGTTTATTTAATGATTTTAATGATAAAAATATTATTTTTATTATATGATTAAATTTCGCGAAGATAAATATATGAAGCGTATGCATTGTTAATGACCAATAAAAATTTTGAACGAATATTATTTTGTAATAATCATATATTATTTAAAAAATATATTTACAGAGTAGTATATGTTTAAAATCTTTTTGGCTTAATATAAAATTAAGTGTCCAAATTATATTATTTTCCCAAATTGGTGGCTAAACTTTTATTATGTCAATCCAGGTGTCTAACGTTACCATTTTAAGTGTCAAACCGTAACGATCGTTAAAAAACTCTATTAAGTGACATGTGTTACATTTGTATAATTTTGATCCCTCTCCCTTTTCTCCCCCCCCCCCCTCACTACACCAGTCAGACAATCACCATACTTGAAGTTGAAAAAAACCAACAATCGATCGACTATCACTGTTTAAACGGTTGGCCCAACTACCACTATTTAATCGTTCCGTCGACTACCATTGCCCAATCAGTCGGTCAAAATGATTTAAGAAATTTTTAAGGATTTAAATATTTGTGATTTTGATGATATAGGTTTAGAAATTTAGGGGATTGGGAGATGACTGGTTACTGGTGGGTTCGTCGGTGGCTGTTTATCGAGTAGCTAGTGGTCGAATGGTTTGGTCGACGACAAAGGCAGCGATCGACATGAGTATAGAGATTGAAATTAGAATTTTCAAAGTTTTGGATTTTTTTAAGTTTTGAGAAAATTTTAGGGTTTTTATATTTTTTAAAATAAGTTTTTCTTTTTAAAAAATCAAAATTATATAAATGTGACATGTGTCACTTAATGAAAATTTTAATGACCGTTACGATAAATGCAACTAAATTGATAACATTTGAAACATTAGGAACCTAGATTGACAGAAAAAAATTTTAGGCGCCAATTTAAAAAAAACGATATAGTTTGAACACTTATTTTTATATTAAGTCAATCTTTTTTAACATTTTACAATACAAACACGCTCTATAAATGCAATTGTTCAATCCTCAATACTTTAACAAGAACAATATTTCATTATACCGCTAAAACGATTAAATAGAATTTTTTTTTCAAAATAAATCAATATCCAAATAATTTATAATGTTAATATCATCATTTAATTAATACCATACTCTCTCGCTAATATTCTAAATGTATTTCATAATTTTATCATTTCATGCCTTGTCGTGCTTCATGGGACGAGGATGAGATCTTATTTGGTTTTGACCCGGTAAATATAGTATATTTGACTCACATCAAGACAATGAATTGATACCCAAAACACATTTCTTAACCAAATCCCAAGTTTGGGTCCAATTCAAAGTTAAAGGTCCTAATCTAGGGTCAACAATAAGTCAGCTTGGCCCTTGTCTTCTATTTGTTCTTCTCCATTGCTATGACATTCATTGCACTACAAGCCAAATGTTGCATACTATGTTCCCTTTTTCACATACATACACACACATATATATATATATATATATATATATTGTGTTATTGAAAGGTTTGGAATGGGTCAAATTTATCTTCTTCTTTTTTCTTGAATTAATTATTGATATTTAATTTATTATCCGACTAATTCAAATCGGTTACTTCAAAGGCGAAGGCGATCCTTTCAATCCAGTTTACTCTATTTACAAACGTCATGACTCAATCAATTGGATTAAATGACGTGATTTTTTCTTTTTCTTTTTATATTTAAAATTTAAAATTTATATTGATTAGACACTAATACATTTAATAAAATATACATTTTGTTTTAACCAACTTTTAGCGTGTTATGTTAATATTGTATTTAATAAGTACTTTTGGAATTGTAGGTAATATTGTCTATTTTTTTTTTGGGGAAGAAGTGAGAATCAATCTTCATATTTTTCTATTCTTTTGTGATGGACTAAATTCGGAATAATATGAAAAGTTTTTTAATTGTCACACTAAGTCTGTGTTTGTTTTCACTATTCTACCTCTTCAAACCTCTTATCACGCACAGACATTAGGCTTCGCAGACCGTTTGTTTTTTAGAAGATAGAAGCTCTTCTAACGTCTGCACGAGCTCTTATTGGTGCAGACATGGTTTTATGTCTTCAAATCTCTTCAAGAACAATTATAAAATATGATTATTTATTAAAACAATTTTAAATAATTTAATAAGGTTATTTATTTTAAAATAATTTATTTTAAAATAATTTATTTTAAAATGATTTATTATAAAATAAATTATTTTAAAATAAATTATTATAAAATATGAATTAATTATTTTAAAATAATTAATTTTAAATAATTTATTAGTATAGATTGATTTATTTTAAAATATGGATTGATTTATTTTAAATAATTTATTAATATAGATTGATTTATTTTAAAATATGGATTGATTTATTATTGTAGTTGTATGAATTGATTTATTTTAAATAATTTATTAGTATAGATTGATTTATTTTAAATAATTTATTAGTATGTGAATTGATTTATTATTGTAGTTGTATGGATTGATTTATTTTAAATAATTTATTAGTATGGATTGATTTATTTTAAAATATATATTGATTTATTTTAAATAATTTATTAGTATGGATTGATTTATTTTAAAATATGAATTGATTTATTATTGTAGTTGTATGGATTGATTGATTTATTTTAAATAATTTATTAGTATGGATTGATTTATTTTAAAATATGGATTGATTTATTTTTAAATATGAATTGATTTATTTTAAATAATTTATTATTGTAGTTGTATGAATTATTTAAATTTCAGTATTGTAAAACTAAAATTATTTAAATCTCAGTATTGCAAAACTCTTTTAAGTTTAAAAAATCAGTTTATTTATATTTCAATTCATTTTAGCAGTCTGCAGACGTTAAAAAACAAACAATCTTCTTATTGCAGAACATCTTCTGCTGCAAATGTGGTCCGCAGACTGCAGACATTTTATCTCTGCAAAAACAAACACCACCTAAATAATAATGACGAACTTTTTACATGTATATTTTTAAAGGGAAGTACACAAATGGTCCCCGATTATAGGGTGATAATTTGTTGAGTCTATCGGCTATTAAAAGTTATAAAAATGACCATTAGACTATTCATATGTTGCAAACTCGTCATTTCTATTAAAAAATTGACAGCCGTCTAAGTTGAACATTAACTTGTTGACTAAGGTATGATAAAATCATATTTTAAAAATGCAAGTTGGTACCGTCGCTGCTTTCAAGCACTGGCTCGATAATATAATGTAAATAAAGAATCAATTTAGAAAATACAACTCAAACGATTTTGAGATCATATTTTCTCGTATCCCAATTAATAAGTTAATGTCTAACTCAAAAGACTAATAATTTTTTAACGGAAAAGGACGAGTTTGAAACATATGAATAATTAGATGACCATTATGTAACTTTTAATAATCGAAGGACTCAACAAAACAACATCCTATAGTCGAAGGATCATTTCGTAACTTTTAATAGTCAGGACATTTGTGTACTTTAACAATTTTTAAATTAGAAAAAGCTTATTCTGAAGGAAGAATTGGGCTTCCTTCTGGCCCGCCCAATTCAAGTTGGTTTAAACACAAAATGTATGGATTAAAACGAAATTAGGGTTTTTTCCTTGGTCTCCCACTCTCCCTATTGTTCGCATCTTCATTGAGCAAGTGAAGGCTTTCAGTGGAAAGAGCCGCCTTCCACCAAAATGGTCAGTTCCTTACTCTCCATTATCTCGTCCTTACTCTTGTTCTAATTCGTTGCTTATCACTTCATTCCTTGAATTTGTTGTTTTTGATTTCAGTATTTTCCCCTGACTTTTAGTTTGTTGAATCAATGCATATTTTTTACATTTTTTATTACTGTTCTCTGAAAACGAATGAATAGAATGTTGATTTTGGCTGGTGGGTATATTTGGGTTTTTCATGAAATTGGGTAATTTCTGGGCTTTGGATGGCAACAACAGCTTTATATTTCTAACACTGTTTCTCATGATATAGAAATAAGAGGTCTAGTTGCTGAAGTGGACATTAAGATCAAATGATGCCTTTTAATTGTGTTTTATGGTAGTCTTGAAACAATGTGATGTTCTTTTTTACATCTTTATTTTAAGTTTATCTATGATTTAGTTTTTAATGTGTGGAATCTACATTGTGTTTCACGTTGAAGGAGTCATAGGAAGAGTACTTGCTGAAGTCAATGTAAAGATCAAATGATTGGTTTTATTGTGGTTTTGAGATGATGTGATGTTCTTTTCTATATGCTTTATGATAATGTTCATCTCTGATTTAGTTTTGAATGCGTGGAATCTATATTGCATTTTGGTGGGGTCGATTTCTTTGTTTTGGAAATTCATTTGCTTCAAAAACTATGCATTCTGGCTTCATTCAAAGGTTTATTTTTGCTTATCTGGTGCAGGTGAGAGGTTTGAAGAAACATTTGAAGAGGATCAATGTTCCCATGCATTGGATGCTTGACAAGCTCGGCGGTGCATTTGTATGTTATCATATCAGACGTTTTTGCTTTCTTACCATTTCAATGCAACTGCCTTTAATTTTTCTTCTTATAATCTCTTTGTTTATGCAGGCACCGAAGCCATCATCTGGACCTCACAAATCCAGGGAATGCTTGCCGTTAATATCATTCTGCGAAACAGATTAAAGTATGCTCTGACATATAGAGAAGTGATTGCTATTCTAATGCAACGACATGTTATGGTAGATGGGAAGATTAGAACCAATAAGACCTATCCAGCTGGTTTCATGGGTATGTAAATTGCCTTTTGGTCTATTGGATCAACTGAACTTTTTTATATTTTCGAATTATAAACTTATTCAAAGTATAGCTTCATTTCTCTGATTTAGGTTCCTCTTTCCGGATTTGACTTATTTTTGTACCTTTTCTATGTGCTTCAGTCTGTTTTAATCATGTGTTGGTGGTTTTCTTTGTTTCCTACTGCCAGATGTGTCAATTCCAAAGACAAATGAGGACTTCTGTCTCCTTTATGATACAAAAGGTCGATTCCGCTTTCATGCCATCACCGGTGATGAGACCAAGGTTTGTATCAACGGGACCTTAAGTTATAGATTTATTGTTAACTGTTGTCTTTATGATACAAAAGGTCGATTCTGCCTTCAAGGAATGATTGACCATGTTTTATTGATCTTGCGATCTGCAGTTAGCTCTGCAAGGTTAGGTTTGTCCAATTTGGCCAGAAGTGTATTCCATACATTAATACTTATGATGGCCGAACAATCCGCTACCCTGATCCTTTGATCAAGACCAATGACACCATCAAGCTTGACCTCAAGAGCAACAAAATTGTTGATTTCATTAAGTTTCATGTCGGGAATGTTGTCATGGTCACTGGAGGGAGGAACATGGGACGTGTTGGAGTCATTAAGAACCGAGACAAGCATAAGGGTAGCTTCGAGACAATCCATGTTCGAAGATGCTGCTGGCCACGAGTTTGCAACCCATCTAGGCAATGTGTTTACAATCGGTAAGGGAACAAAGCCGTGGGTATCCCTTCCTAAGGGAAAGGGTATAAAGTTATCGATCATCGAGGAAGCCCGGAAGAGGCTCGCAGCCCAGGATGCTGCTTAGATTTTTATAATATTTGGAGCTGTTTTCGTCAAAAGAATTCATCTGTTGGATGGAATGCTGTCTAGTCCTGTGTGTTTACTGTCCTGTAGGTGTTATGATTTGCTTTTAACTCATGAGCAACAGTTTTGGACCAATAGTTATATTGTTCTTGAAATCCAGTTGTATTATTGTAGTTTATATTGTTGCATTTTAAGTATCTATCCTTAGTTTCAAACACAATCTGAAAGAGGATGGCTTGACAACATCCGAAGGTGATAAACTCGAACGGTACCGGCGGAATTCATACGTTTCTGTCGAACTCTGTGAAATTTGTGTCGAAACTGATCGGAAAAACGTGGAAGATCAGTGTGAAGGGAGGAAATGGATTTATCAGAATCAGAATCAAAGTTGAATAGTAACGTTGCTTATCGCAGCCATAGTGGCTTGGAGAACAATATTTTCTTTTCTTTTCTCCCTTTTTCTTATTTCCATTAAACGCGTGGTTGGCAAAGGTGGGTCCCAGTTCATTTTAAATTTATCCTTAAACTTTTAATGATTTTAATTTGATCCCCAAACTACTACTCTCATTATTTAGTGTAAATCTTCTATTTAAATCGTGTAAACCTACAAGGTTAGGCACACTTTCAAATAATGTTGTCTCTACTCTCAAACGTTTTCGGTGATAGAATTTTTTTATTATAGTTCGTAGAGCATAAGATTTTAACCTTGAGGTCGTGGGATCGAGTCCCACGGAGGGCATTTCATAATTCGGAGGTCTCTTACGGAAGCTGTTCTCAACCTGGTGTTGGGGGTAGCCTACTATCTTACCTCCCTCTTACCCCATATATATGGGAAAAAGGGACAACCTTTAGTTTGATTTAAAAAAGTTGTGTATAAAAACCTCAACAACTATTCATTCGATTCTATAACTACCGACGAATAATCAATTTATAACCTCATTCTTTTTCTTTATTTGTTTTGATTATTTAATTTTATTTCACTATTTTATTTTTTTCCTCAAATTGTTTTTATCTAACAAAAGTAATAACAAGGAAAAAAATGAGGTGAACTTATGGCTTTCATATTAACAAAAAGCAGTGTATATCAGCATAAAATCGTCCACGTGATCATGCTGTTTTTGATTTAATATTCAACTGACTAAAATATAAGTAATTTAGAAGTTAAATGATACAATTAAAATTAAAAAGTTGAGTACCCGAAAAAGTAACACGGTTAAAGTTGAGTGATGAGAAATAGTTTACCTATTTTATTTTGAATAAAGATACACCTTTGATATCTTATTGATCGATTAGCAATTACCTAATTCTCGCGAAGAAGATGGGATTCAGATTGAGCAAGACGAAACAATCACTGCTCGCTCTCGCCGTCGATTCATATACCGCCAGGAATAATCTTTATTTCTCCGCCACCCTGGGTATCATCCTTTGTTTGCTTCCCAGTGAAAACATGGGAGAAAATAAAGTCCCGCTGCTCTTCCACGGACATCAATTCGCCTTCTGTACTAGTGTAGTATCGGTCATTTTTACCTTCACCGGATCGGTCACGGCGTTAATGATCGGCGATGACTCCAAAACTTCAAGATTCTGCTCGCTTTATTCCTTTGTAGCCATGGTTTTAACTTTATCAAGTCTTGCCTATGTTTTAGTCTTCTGAATTATTATCTGTCTTAAACTTTTCTTGTAATACCCAAGTTTTTCAACTATATGTACCTTCGGACCTTTGGATTTAGTTATTGCAAGATTTAGCTTCTTTTTTATTAATATTTTTAGTAGTATTGTAAATTTCTGGTTGTTTTCCTGGTCTAAATGCGAATTTATCTTTTCTAATTATCCTGTATAAACCGATAAATTATGATGTGAGTTGAAATCTTCTGCTTGATTTGTTTGTTAAAAAGTTTGGCAGAGCTATTTGCATAAACTGTTTGTAGAATTGCTTGATTGAGTGGTTTGGGTATTTTTTTTCTTCATAATCTGTTTGTTAAAATGTTTGACAGAATAGTTTGGGTTTGGTAGATTATGTATGTGGTGGTCAAAAGTGAAAAGAAAAACATCGGCCTAACCTTTAACTGGCTGTGGTGTTTAGATCATTGCTGATGGGAGGCAACTCCATGATTTCGAAAGCTTTCGATCTCTTTGAGCCGAACCAAGTTTAAGGATTTTTAGCTGCATTTTAACATCTCAACAAAGCCACATCTTAATCTGCCAGTATGCAAAGGGTTGTCTAATCCTTAGCATTTGAACTCATAGTAACCTCTGCATTTTTCTTCTTTACTGCATAGCTGATCTCACTATAAACCTGACTCCACATGAAGATTGTGAAAGAAACTCTCTTCCGCTCGTGCTGAAGGGATGAGTCTCTTCCTTTCACATCTTGTAATTTCTGTCATATTTACATTCACTGTTCTTTTACAGCGTTGAAACTTCACAAAAATTCAAAGATTTCAATATTCTACAGATGTTTTTCAATGATTTACCTGACCTATAGCTTGCTTCCAGACATTGTTTTTCAGCTGTATTTCGGCAAGCAAAAGTGTAAGTCAATCAAACTCTGGATGAGATACTGAGATGTTTATGTATTTCTTTATCTTCAGACCATGTACAGGTTGAACTACTGTGATTCATTGTGTAATTAGTGGATATTCCTATCAGATTGCCATGTTTTTGGAGTTGAGGTTTAATTTTACTTTTGTTTTTCGAATATCATGATCGATATACATATCTGAGCACGTGTTAGATCAAAATGTTAGAATACAGATACACAGCTAACCTATATACAATGCTAGCTGTCTTGGATTGCCACACCATGTCCTTGTGACTTAGTTAATATCCTTTTCCTTAAATAGAACTGTAGTGGAAACATTCATCTGCAGAAAGAAGGGTGCGGTCCTATTCTAAGCACATTCAACACCAAACGGTTAAGACTCGAAAGTCACGAGTTCGAATCTTGCAATAGGAGGAGTATAATCATCATATGATCTAGAAGAGGGACTGTTCTATCCCCACATGGACGAAAAGGTTTGAAGACGATAGTCATGCAAGGGCAATCCGTGATATAAGTTTCTGAAGGTGTGGATTCTGCAGGGACAAATTATTTTCTTCGATTGCTGAAAGATTTTGTGCTTCAAAGACCATGCATGTTGGCTTTATTTCTAAAGTTTTAACTTTCCTCGTCTGTTGTAGGCCAGAGGGTAGAAGAAACATTTGAAGAAGCTCAAATGCTCCCAGGCATTGGATGCTTGCCATCATCATCGTGTGTCGTCCATTGACGGAAGAGTGGTTATTGGTCGTCAATTTGCATCAACAAAAGCCGTTTATCGTTGATTTTGTGGTGTATCGTTCGTTGATTTGCAACGTTGGAAGAGGGGGATAGTTAATAGTAGAGTCCGACAATAGAAGAGATGGGCGGTAGTAGTTGATTTGGCGGTGATAATAGTAGGAGTTTTAGGGATTTATGACTTTTCGATAATTTAGGAAATTTAGGGTTTTGAGAAATTCTTTAAATTTAGGGTTTAGGACAACATTTCAAAATTCATATCCAAATATGAATTGTATGCAAATACTTCACGAAAAATAATGATTCGGAACAACATACGAGTAATCAATCGAAAATAATCAATCAAGAATTTAAAACCAAAGAATTTTGAAATTCCTCCATTAATGTACAAGTGGTTATTACCATACACAAATAAAACCCAGCATTCACTCAAAAGCGAAAGAACAGGCATTGACAAAATCCAACATAAACAGATGGAAGACACATACGATATTAGGGTATAGGACATGAACTTAAAAGGATTTGATGTCTCTGCCGTCGGAGACAATGCTGCACCGCCATTCCTGGACACACAGTTTCTTCTTTTGGAGTCTTGAACTCGAGAAACCACTACATCGTAACCGGCCAAGTCTAAGCACATTGAAGGGGGTAGTCCTATTCTACGCACAAAATAGCTAAAACTTTAAGATTTCAACTCGAAAGTCTCAAATTCAAATCTTGCGATGCAATGGGAGGACTGATTATGTGATAGAAGAGAGTTATCTCATTGGTTGAAAGCCGAGCGAATCCCCATATATGCAGAAAATCTTTGACGAGGAAGTTGAAGGACAAAACACGTAACTATGACCGATTCCCACTCGGTTTCAGCTATCACATAAGAGATGCATATGGTCAGGCCTGGGCTTATGTCGTCTCTTGATAAATGCCTCTAGCTGTGGATGCCTTGGTCCTGTTTGAGGCTCTTCTCTCGTCATATGAAACTGAGAAACTTTCTAAAATCATCTTTATTAGTGTTATTTGGCCAATCCTGTTGGTTCCACCAATCTTCTGAGCACTGAATTGTTCTCAGTTTCGACGCCTTTTGAATTGTATGCGGTAAATTTCTAAGCTTCATGTGTGGCTTGATAAATACCGTCTCCAACGACGGCCATTCCAAAGAGGCATGAGAAATGGTGCATAATTCCGGCAAGTCACAGAGCTGCAAATTCTTCAACTTGGGAAAGGTGCGGGGTTCGTCTACACGTCCGTCTTCAATAATCTCTTTCAAGACACAGCAGTCCTCCACCTGCAGATTTTCTAGATGAGAGAGTCGTATGATCATCCCCGGTGAAAAAAGCACTTCTATGTTGTTGCATCCTTTTAACGAGAGAGTTGTGAGTCTACGAAGGCTTTTAGATTCTACTGGGCGCTGCCAAATACTTTTCAGTTTCGGTAGATTGTGAATTTGTAGGCTTTTCAAGCGTTCAAATTCAACACCTGTGCCGTCTATGATGTTCTCCATCTCGTTACACTCCTCAACGATACATGCTTCCACACCTTGTAAGTTATCAGCACGGAAAGCTGATAAACTAGTAGCAGTTTGGTGACCAATCAGTTCGAATGCTTTGGCTTGCTTTAGAACCTGTGAAATAGCATCGGGAAACTCGTCTCCTGCCGAAAACCGAAGGTGCTTTTCTGCTGAGCATTCAAAGACTCTAAATTCAGATGCAGAACTGTTTCTCTGGTTACCAACAATGATCTTGAATGATCTGAAGATATTGTCCGTCCATGATTTGCTATTCCGAATGAAAGCTTCGAAAAACTCCATCTCGGGGAAGAAGAAACAAAGTGAGGTTAACTTCTCCAAATTGGAGATTTCACTGGCGATTTCGGCCGCGTTTTGATATCGGCTGCTACAATGGCTCACAGCAACGCTCAGTTCTTCTAACTTAGAAAGCCTTGCAATCACGTTAGAAGGAATCATCGGCTTCGGTTCTTCGACATGGTTCTGGTTTCCAGCATCTTTGGTGAATGAAACTCTCAAACACTTCAAATTAGACAATTGTCCGATCTCTACAGGCAAACTGTAGAGACTAGTGTTATGTATATCGAGGATTTCGAGATGCTCAAGATCACCGATCTGAGAAGGAAGCTGTACTAACCGACTACAATTGATTATCAACAGCCCTTTCAGATTTATTAAGCTGCAGATCGATGACGGAAGTTCAGTTATTTGCGTCTCATGCAAGTTCAGAACTTGAAGACCACACATATAGCCGAAGAATTCCCTTGGAAATTCAGCCAAGCTACTCTGCTGCATTAACAATGTCAAGATCCCACAACATTGGGGTCTCTTAGGTAGAGTCGATAGGCGAACCTGAATAAGTGACATTCTCCTTGCACGTTCCCAATCTTCGTCTATAATGTTTTCGTCATCGGCGACGAAAAAATTGAAATTCTCTTCTAGATTTGCTATCCTTAATGCCACCCTTTGAAAATACTCGAACATCTTGAAATGCCCCCACTTTCTTCCCTTTTCTAGTAACGACTTCCGCACAAATTCATCTAATATGGTATGCCCCCTGTCTCGTGTCCATGAAAGATTCCTTTGGCATGGTAAGAACTGTTCGGCTCTCCAACAATCGATTACATGGTCTCGAAAAATTTCATAACCTGTCGGAAAAACCGCCCAATACAACAAACAAGGCTTCATCTCCTCCGATAGTTTTTCATAGACAAGTTTAAAAGCCTTGTAAAATTCTTCCAGTTGTTCTTGAGGTTCCATTGTCGGCGACCTTAATTGGGACAACATATCCCTCCATATCGCAGGGTCCTCATTTTTCGCCAACCTATTGCCGATTAACTTAATCATGAGTGGAATGCCACCACATTCGTTGATGATGAGCTTTGCAACTGGCTTGATATCGGGATTGCTCTTGAGATGAGAACCAACTATTTTCCAGAAAAAGTTTTCGGCATCCTCGTCTGATAATCTCTGTACATTCATCTCTTCATCGGTGTCACCGCATATATTGTTGTTTTTGTATCTGCATGAAAACACCACTTTTCCATGCTCATGTTCATCATGAATACCAACTTCTCTAAGATCAATCTCTGAGACGACATTATCGAGATCAAGAAACAATACATATCTCTTGTCCTTTAGCTCTTTGGATATCATGTTTGCTCTTTCATCGGCACTATAGTTTCCGTCCACTCTCAAACGCTGCCATATTACATCATGTATTTCTCTTATTCTACGATCGGCTGATACATTCACCCAAAAGATAATGTCAAATTTACCAGATTTACCGACCTTGTCATGCAAAATCTCCATAATCGTGGTCTTCCCCACACCCGGAGGGCCCCATATGCAGATTCTTTTCAAGTTCTCATCCTCTAGCCACTCCACCAGTGTTTCCACACGCGAATCAAATGATGGCACGTCACTTTTTTTCCGTGCATGCTTCTCTATAACCGGAACCGGTGGTGCCGGTGGCTTCTCTTGCATTAGTTTTATTTGACGTAATTGATTACTCAGCTCAACTACCTCTGCAGTCTTCCTCACAATACTCTTGCCAAGCTTTAGCAAACTCGGAAATGGACATAGGCCGCAAAAATATGCACTGGTATTGTTGTAGTCATCATTGAGTCTTTCAATATCCTGTTTCACATTTTCGACCTCTTTGAGCCAGGTTTCACATCTGTTTGTCTTTTCGTTCGTTAATCTGTTCCTCTCCAGCGTCTTTCTAACATCTTCATATTCATTACACAGATATTTTTTCTCCTTCTCAAGCTTGGCGATATTCTCTGGTATATTCTTCACGTAGGCATATTTGCGCTGCAAGCAGTTGAATATACCCTTCCCACCTTCGACCGCCGGTGTAACCAGCGAACCAGCCGCTTGTCCTGCTGCTTGCACTGCCAGCGTTTCCATCCTGCCAATGTCTTTGCGATGAATTAATCATTAAAGTTTAAACCGAAACCATTTTTCTCATGGAGCAATAACAAATATCACACACACACACACACATATATATATATATATTAATCTTAAGACCACACAAATAGACATTGCAAGTGAAAAACTCAGATTGTGATCTTGACTCGAAAGTCTTGTTCTCGGAAACTAATTATTTCTTTCCATTTCTTTTCCTCACTTCCGACTTGTATTATCCTTGTAATTCTGGCAAGTATCTATAAACTATCAAGTTCAACTGGTCAGTTTCAGAACTAAAGTTGATTACTCTTATTTACAGTTATATAGACATTGAGAATGCAGACTTTTACCCGACTTGCAATGTATCGTCCTCTTTGACTAGAAAGTCTCACAATTTGAGTCTCGAATTTGTCACAAACACCCGAGACAGCTCGACGGCGAAGACAGAATACATAGGACCAAGATTACACCAAGCATTTGAGATTATAAAGGTGGGTCTTGCTGGCATTACATCAAGCACGTAAAAGACATCATCTCACCGAGTTTCGACACTCCGATGCCGGTGGTTAGAATTAGAACATTACTCTTTGTTTCTTTCAAGAGCTAAATTTTGCAGAACTTTCCAACATTTATGGCCACTCTGGTTAAAACTAAAATGAGAAATAAGTTACCCCTTTTTCTAATTTCACTGCATAGCTTCTACATTGAATCAACCCTTCTAGAGTCAACCTTTCCTATCAGCTTAATAACCTTATCAAACACCATAGCCAAGGATGGACCGAGTGGGTGCTGGATGGTGCGGTCAACCCTGAAAATTTCAAAATTCCATATAATTGAAGTATTTTATTCGTACTTTTTTATTGATTATCTAATTTCGCACTCCATATTATTTTCTAAATTCGCATCAAGATGTGTCCGTCTTGACCATAGGTAATACACATGAAAAAGATACTGAAAACAAAGAGAGATGTTGGGGGTAAAATCTGTGATGATCCAAGTTCGAAGCAATAATAAAGATATGACATTGTAGCTCGTTTGAAGCAAATTCAACAGAGTTTTAGATTCAGACAAGGGAGAATAAGAATACCTGGAAAGACTCAAGCTTGCTTAGTTCTCTGAGTTTATGTTGTGTCTGAAAACTGGAGTTGGGGGTGTTCCTGTTTGAGATTTTTGTCTCAGAAGATGACCAGACCAGATGAGCCGGTTGTTGGGGAAGCTCTAAAACTTAAATGGCTTTTACTGAAGTCGGTCAATGTGCCAACCAGGCCAAGGACCCACTCATCCTTGTTCCAACCGCACTCCATTTCCTACGACTTTCCTTCTCTTTTTATTAATATACAATATGTCAATATTTATTCAAAAATTCTTAATCAATTAATTATATACGCTCGATGCTCAAACTCGTTATCTTTAAAAAGAATAACACGTTCTTAATTATTGAAATCAATTAATTCGTGCCATTATCTAGACAAATTAACTTTTGAAGAGGGAAAAGTTGGATTAATTTTCTTTAACCTTTTTTAGGTTTAATTGTTTATGAGGCTCTCAGTTTTTGAAAGAAAAAAAAAATCAATTCAACCTTCGGTAAATTGATTTTTGGGTAAAGTAAATTCATGACCACTTAGTTATGGGAGAATTTTAATCTGACCCCAAGTTTTAAATTTTGTTAATCAAACTACATAAATATCTAAATGATATAAATCAACCTATCAGCCGTTAATATTAACGAAGAGGCTCACACGACAGTTAAAATTTATTAAATTAGATTAGAATTAGGGTCATATTAATGGAACATGTAAGTAATAAGGTAATATATATTTATAATTTTTCTTAATCTATTGACATCACATACCGTATAAATATAACTGTTCGAATTCAAAATTTCTAAGGAAAACACCCCTTTAGCCAGTAAGATCACTTAATAAGTTGACCTAAAATAAACTTGAATGAAATATTTACCTATACACAAAATTTAGACAAAAAGTTAAAGTCCACATTTCAGGCTAGATCTAATTTTGTATATCGCTATTAATTATAATTTATTAATCTACTTTCAAATAATTAATTTTACGCACAATATAATGACATTGTGAAAGTAGTAATAGAAAAGTTTAATGAACATAAAAAACTAACCCTTTATATTTTCTGGAAATCATTTTCTACGAATTAAGTTTAGATGTTATAATTATTAAAAAAAAGTTTAGATGTTATAAGGATGGATCGAGAGGTGTTGAGAAGCGGTCGTCTTAGAAATTTTAATCTCTCATTTTTTATTATATTTTTATTAATTATCTAATTTTGCACTCTTAAATTTCTAATAAAGCTTTCCCAATTCTGATGTAAAATATCGTGTCCTTCCTTGGTTATAAATTGAGTAAACTACATATTTAATAACACAATTATTCATATAGTTCCATTTTGGTTCACAACTACTTTTTTCTCAAAATCATATATAATGTTACGTTTTGGTTTCACTTTGATCATCCGTCGTTAAAAAATTAACATAATTTAAAAAAAAATTTCAATGATGACGTGACATTACCTTGATGACACATCAGCATCACCGTTAATTTTTTAACGATTGGTGACCAAATGAAATTAAAATGTAACGTTAGGTATAATTTAGAAAAAATAGTTTGGTGACCAAAATGAAACTGCATGAATAATCGGGTGACTAGATACATAGTTTACCCTTATAAATTGAATGTTTAAGAAGATAATGAAAAAGAGAGTGAAACCGTGTACGTGTATCAAAATTTCAATTCGCTCTGCCATGCAAATCACGTAATTCCATCATGCAAATCACCAAGTTTACATATTATTCTCATTTTCTTTTCGGTACGCCACTAATATAATTAAATTCTCTTCCTTTTCTATATAAAGAACCTCCATTTGTACAACATTCTCATCAATTTATACTCACAGCACAACAGTTGAGACATGGTGTCCTTGAAGAAGCTAGCTTTCGCGTTGGCTACGATAGCGGTGGTTCTGGCGGCCACTGTGCGTCCAACGGCAACCGCCGCTCGCACCGGGTCCGTGCCTCTCCCAATCGGAGCGACCGTCAACTCGACTAACACGAAGAACAGTTTGGCTCTGACTTGCATCCATCGTAATGACCTTTGCCTGTTCCAACACCAGGCCTGCTGTAGTCCTTGCAAATGTTACGGGTTCTCCCTGTCATGCTGAGAAAATAATGAAGCTGAAAATGATTACTATATTATATTTCTTATTTTTCAAATAGGTATTGTTTAATAAAGGTGGGGTCTCATGAAACAATGGACATTGCAAATGTTCACAATGATCCTTAAAGAAAATGTTGTGTGGCTGTTAATTCGGACATTGCAGAAGTCATTGAAGTGCCCTTCGTGTGTAGGGTTGTTGTAACCATATTTTGTTTGGGTTAAGCTCGAGTCAAGTTTGGATCGAACCCGAATTACGTAAATTTTAGTATTGTTTTTATTATCATCATCTACAAACCCATTGTCGTAACCGGTTTTCGTCCGGGCACGAATTTTTTTTACTTGACGGGAGAAGTGATGTGAATAAATGGTTTTTAAAATAATTTGGGAGTCGCCATCGGCCTTTTGGGTCAGGTAGGTCGAATACCTAAAAATCATCTTTTAAAAGAGTTTTTAAGAAAACAAAGATTAAAAAATAAACTGATATGCGTTTTAACCAAAAATTCGTTCTTTTTAATAATAAAAAGGGATTCGTGGTCGGTTACGTTTAGGGAATGATTAACACCCCTACAACGCCCAAAATTGATACTTTTTAATTATACATTGTCTCTATTATTAGAAATTTAAGAATTCAAAATATATTTAATTTATAATCCTATTATTTTAAAATTATAATTATGAAAAATATATATTAATTTATATATTTATAAATAAAATATTTATTTATTTAGAAATATAAGAAAATGACTTCTAGGTGCCTTAAGACAGCTCTTTTCTTTGATATTAAAAAATAAATAAATAATTAAAACAATTAATATATAATTTATAAAATAAGATATTTATTTATTTAAAAATATCAGAAAATGGACATCCAGTTATTTTAAGACTGTCCTTTCTTAATATTGAAAAATAAATAAATATATATTAAAATGTGATTATTAAAAAAGTAATTTATGAAATATAAGATTTTAACTAATAAACAAATATTATTTATTATATATATATTTATTTATATAAATAATAAGAATAATAATAAAAAGTAATAATAATAATAAAATAATATTGCAAATAATAATTAAAAATATAATATTAAAATATAAAATAATAATAATAATCAAAAATAAAATTTGAATGATTAAAATATAAAATTATAAAACTAGAGTACTAATTCGAAATATATAAAAGATGGGCATTAAGAAATGTAATTTAACCATAATTCATAATACATGATTAAAATAATAATTAATAAACTATGAGGGACTAAATTTGATATTTACCTAAATATATATATATATATATACTGATAAGGACTAAATTAAAATAAAATAAAATTAGAAGACTAAATTAAAATAATCAAAAATTGCTTTCAGTGACTAAATTGCAAGGTATACAAACTTGGAGCACTGCGGAAGGGGTTTACCCTTTATGAAATTACAGAAATACCCTCCCCAAAATGACGTCGTTTGGGGAGGGTTTTAAATACCCAATCGGCCGGCCCTTATGGGCCATTTTTCTCATTTCTTTCCTTTCTTTCTTTCTCTGAGAGAGAAAACTCTCTCTGTTCTCTCTAATCTCTCTCCCTGAGAGAGAGCTGACCACCGGCTGGCAACCATGATCCGTCGCCAAGCACCACCGCCGGCCACCGTGAACGGTGGCCGGAATTTACAAAACCATACCAAATCAAAGTTCTTTTAACCCTAAAGCCAAATCTGGTATCATTTTCTCCTAAAACCTCATAGTATTTCCTAGATCTAAAGATAATACCTTCATTATTTTAACGGTTCGACGACGTTTTGGAGGGCTCCGATGGTCGTGGTAAGTTTCTCTCCTCTCTTCATTTATTTTTCTTTGTTGGTTTGTTGTTGGTGTTGGTTCTCGGTTTTGTGTTGTTTTTGCTCTCTGTCTTTTTGTTGTTTCCGGTTTTGGTTTCTATCCCTTTTCTCCGTGGCTGTTGGTTCATGTTTTTTGTGTTCTCCTCTCTGTCTCCTCCATTTTTTTCGTCTTGCAGGTGATGGCTTTATAGCCTCGATGAGGCTCTCGTCGGACCGGGTATAAAGTCTAGTTCGGTGAGTCACCGAACTATGTGGTGACTCACCCCTAGAGCAGCAACGTGGGTGGCCATCTGGCCTTCTGGAGACTTCAGCGATGGTGGTGTCAAGGTAGCAAAGCGTCGGCAGCTGCTGGTTGGGTCACCTGGCATTGAAGGTGTCGGCTGGCTGACGAACGACGACCATGTGGCCCTAGGGTATCATAACCCTAGGGTTTTTGCTGGGACCATATGAACCGTTGGATCAATGCTAGATCCAACGGTAGAGAAGCAAAGCGGCGGCAATACTAGGATAGAAAACCCTAGTTGGGTTTTAGGGTTTCTGATGGGTTTGCTCAGTTAGGCCAGAATTGGGCTACTGTTTGGGTTGTAATTTAAGCCTGTAATATATAATAAATAATAATATTAATAATAATAATAATAATAATAATAATAATAAATAATAATAATAAAAAAAATAATAATATATATAAAAAAACCAAATGTAAAAAAAAAACTACTGTCTTCAGCTGCCCCTCTTTGCTCATTCTTGTATTAACAAGAATAGGGCAAAGACGAAAAGACAATAAGTTTTTTTTTATTTGACTTCATTTGATTATGATGGTAATGTTGAATAAAATCTTCTTTGGGATTAGTTCTTCTTATTATGAACTTTTCCACTGGGGATGATAATTTGTCTCCTTTTGTGATGTAATCTAGAAATGTTGATGCTGATCTATCTCTTTCTGTGATAGAATCATGCAAAAGATTGAACAAGTTCTTCTCATTATGAACTTATTCTTCCTTCTTCAGATGAGTTCTTCTCATTATGAACTCTCTTTGGAAAATTTGATCCATCGAGTGATGAATTCGAGCAAAAAGTTGAACAAGTTATTCTCATTATGAACTTCTTCTTCCTTCTTCAGATGAGTTCTTCTCATTATGAACTCGCTCTGGAAAAGTTGATCCATCGAATGATGAATTCAAGCGAAAAGTTGAACAAGTTCTTCTCATTATGAACTTCTTCTTCCTTCTTCATATGAGTT